GGTCTGTCTTCAGGCCAGCAGTGTGCTGCTTTTGTTACCATAACTCTACAATAAAATTTGAGGTCAGATTTTTCCCCCCAAATTCTGTGAAAAATGGGGTCACACTTACAGTTAACCTGTAGATTGCTTTCAGCACTGTAAATTTTTCACAATATTAATATTGCATCTCGTGAACACAGGAGGCCTTTCCATACTCTAGTGTCTTTTTCAATGCCTTTCTTCAGTGTCTTAAAGTTTTCATTGTAGATGTCTTTCACATTCTTGTTTAGATTTCCTGGGTATTTTTCCCCCAGTGGATTGTTTGCATTAAGAAAATTGTTTATTAATTTATTTTCTACATTCCAATCAACCCCAGAAAAGGTAGAACCCTCTTCCAGAAACAGATGGAAGCAGATGCTGAAATCCTCAACTAACTATTGGGCCAAGCTCCTGGGGTACAATCAAAGCAAGGGAGGGGCAATAATATGAACAAAGGAGTCAAGACCATGATGGGGAATCCCACAGAATCAGCTGACCTGACCTAGTGAGAGATCACTGACTCGGGTATGACAAATGGGGAACCAGCAAAGACCAAACTAGATTCTCTTAATATGGGTGACAATGGTGTGACTGGGACAATATATGAGGCCACTGGCACAAACTGACTTAGTGGAGCCCATTCTATATGGAGAATACCTTGCCCAGCCTAGACACAGGGGTGTGGGAGGGTGGAGAGGTACCTTGGTCCTGCCTCAACAAGATGAGGGGACAGACTTAGTTGACTTCCTAGGGGGAGGACTTACCTTCTCTGAGGAACAGATGGGAGGTAGTGAGGGAAAGAGGGGGGAGAGGGATTGGAATGTTACCTTTTCTTAACCATGGGAAAAATGTATTTCAGATTCAAAACAGACTTTAGAGGGCATTTCATATGCATATTCATATTTACAGAGTCCTGGTATCATTCTAAAGTCTGATCTCTTTGAAGATGCAGGACACAAAGATACCAGCAGTTTCATGCCAAGATGTACTTCATCACCATTTGGTGAACATTTTTCAAATGTTCTTTATTTTTACATTTAACCCCATAAATAGGACAAACGGTTGGCTCTTTGCATTCGGGGACATAATAGGTGAAGATAATTGTCATTTATTTCCTGAGTGCTTGCTATGGTTTGGAGAGGGTTTCAGTATATTCTTGCAGCTCATACATTGGGAAGGTGGACCTACTGGTGACATGCTGTCAGGCGGTAAGACCCGGGGGGAGGGCCCTAGGTTCCAGGGCCCTGTCCTTGTATGGAAATAATACTTTGTTATCTGGGTTGGTTTATTATTATTTTTGCTTGGGTTTGGTGTGCTGGGGACAAGGTCTCATTCTGTCCTGGAACTCTCTATGTAACCCAAGCAGGCCTCAAGCTCCTGATTGTTTTCTTTTCTCAGATTCTTTGGTGTTCCGGGTGTTAGCTACCAAGCTGAGTTTTGAGTCAGTTCTTAGGAGAGTTAGTTGTAAGGGCAAGGCAGATTCCAGAATCCCTCTTCAGCTGGCTCAGAATGGGATTTCTCACTCTCTCGTAAAGTACTTACTGATCAACATTAGTTTTAGAGCTGCCCAATTTTGGAATTTCAGGGTCTCAAACTGTAAGCTATAAATATAACTCATTCTTTTTATCCATTTACTTATTTATTTATTTATTTATCTCTCTATTTATTTATTTATTTATCTGTTTATTTATTTATTTATTTTGATTGTAGGCGTTGTGCCTGTTAGGCCAACACTCTACCATAGAACTACCTGTCTTATTTATAACACAGCCCCTATAACACAACAATTGGGGTTCATTTAGTCCCTCCCACCTTTGAAACTTCCTGGACTAGCACATCTTGTGGACAGTGGGTTAAACACTCACTGCTCACTATTCTGATTCCTAATATGGGACCTATTCAAAACCACAGGTTTCTGATGGCCCTAGGACAACCAGAATTTATGAACTTACCTGCTACCAAATGGAGACTTTTTTTCAATTGGGTGACAAATGAGAATTGAGATGAAGCCCAGATATTCTGCAACATTTAATGTTCCTGTCCTTTATGTAGTAATCATATGCCATAATGAAAACTTCAATATTAGGACTCTAGGTAAACTTCAAAGCACCCAAGTGTATTTCATCTCCTCACTCCCCACACACTGGTGAAAATCTGGCTATCTGGACTCGGACTGTGGGTTTTGCATTTATGGGGCTTTGCTCTAACCTGTATAATCCTAGGCAAAATTATGAACCTTTTTATGTGTTCACCCTTGTCTCCAAAAATAATGACGATATTTATCCCTAAGACCTGGGATAAGAGGAGACTGGCATAAAAGAGGTCAGTAAATTTTTTATCTGGTGATTAAAAACTACGTCAGCTTTGGAGAGATTCTGGTATATTTTAATCTATTTGGTAATCTGAGTCATACTTCTCAATGGTCTCTTTTTCCCTTTATGAAGGTAGATCCATATAAGCACACCAACAGTTTTTAAGCAGAATAATAAGGATTGTTTCCAATTTCTTTGTCATGTATGACCTGGATAAAGTCCCAAAGTTGAATTAAAACACAGAGATGAGCAAAGACATTCAAAGCCTCTCCATCCATAGGGACTACAGTTCAGAGAAAAAGATACAGAAATGGCCCAAACTGGAGGACACAGTGTGAGAGAGGCAGGAAAAGACACATACTGGGATGTAGGAAACTGGGGTTCTAGCCTTGACCCCAGGCAGACTCTCCATGTGAGCTTGGGCAGACAGTTCATTCCAGCCCAGGTGCTTATGCTCAAGAGAGGGTTAACGAGGCAAAGCCTGAGGCCTTTTCTAGATCTCATTCTGCGACTATGAAGGCTCAAGAAAGGGCAGGAAAGAAGGACAGTACCAAATATCCTCAGGAAAGTGGTAGCCATGGCAACATTCCACACAAGGGGCAACCAGCAGGAAAACTGAGATGAAAGCCTGGGAGTGTCCTTAGCAGTGGCCAAGGACAACTTCGTTTATAAAAACCCAAGCCAACTGGTTTCCCTGAGAAAAGAAGGTTAGTTCTTTGGCTGTGAGTTTTTTTCTACCCTTGAAAATGTTGGCCTGCCTATGGATTGTGCTTCTTCAATCCAGCGAGGACAGGCAGTGACCATCAGAAATATCATCAAAGAACCTTGGTGAGATGAAGTCAGTGTCAACTGCCAGACTGAGGGAAGCAGAAACACTTTCACATCCTCTGTCCATTTCAAAGTGCCATACATATAGATGGTTAAACAGCCATTTCAAATAGTCAGGGCATCAGGAGCAGGAGTTTCAAGTCTGTACTGCAGGTTCCTAGAACATCTCCCTTGGTTTTGTGGTTTTCCCCATTCTAGCTTACAGCGTTTCCATTTCCCTGAAGTAGGGGTGACAGTCCCAAGTGGTCTGAAAAGAGATGTTAGCCTCTGGGCTTGGGTGTGGCTAATTTCTTCACCAGCGACATAGGAAAGTCAACTGAGGCCCAAGAAACTCTTTTAAACTTTGGCCATTTACTCTTTGATAGCCTCTCCCACTCCCTGACATCTTTCTGTCTTTCTTTCTTTATGTACCCCACACTCCTATAATGACCTTGGTTTTTCTCTTCCCTCCCCTTTCCCTTCCTTTCAATTACCCTCCCCTTTTCTTTGTGTGTGTGTGTGTCTATATAGCCAAGTCATCATTTCTCATGGGACTAAGGCTCTTTGCACATTTATATTTGTAAGTTTCTTCCTATCAGGTCTTGGCCGAAAAAGCCTTATTCCATGACCAAGTATTCATCTTTAAATTTACATACTGTAAACATTTAGAATGACATGTATACAGTTTTGTTTGTTGGGTTCGCTTTGAGACAGGATTTCATGTATCCCAGGCTGGGTCTAGAACTCTCTATGTAGCCAAGGATGACCCTGAACTTTTGATCACCCTGCCTCCACTTCCCTAGTGCCAGGATTACAGGCATGCAGCACCACAACCATTTTTATGCAGTGGAGCATATGTTGAAACCAGGGTTTTGTGCATGCTAGGTAAGCATTTTACCAAATGGGCTTTAGCTTTGGCTAGAGTGGTATTTCAAAAGCCTAGCGATTTGGGGAGAGTGGAGGGATATATAGCACAGTAACAACTGCACACTTAACTGTTTTCTTTTTCTTATGTAGGGAACCTCATTTGTTAGGGAAGCTAACATTAACAAGAGACCATGCATAGGCTGAACAGCAAGATTTCAGCAGTCTGTTATACTTCTGATGATTTGGTTATCATGATCTATTCTGACACGGAAAGACTTGGTTTAATTCCCAAGGCTCTTTCTCAGAGCTGACCAGTGAGTTAGGTGGGCATTCTGATAGGCCAATGGGATTAGGAAGCATTGACACTTAGTGGGTGTTATTAACTACCCAGTGAAGGCTGCTGGCACTAAGGACCAGGCTTAAGGTTCCTTGCTAGAGATGAGAAGAAGCACCAGGATTATTCTTGCTCCACCCCACTGTGCCCTTTGTGAGACACATGCCATCTGCCTGCTCTCTTCATATACCAAGAAGTGTCAGGTCATGGGGATTGTCTCTTTCACAATCTCAGTCAGAAGTGGCAACATGCTTGCTTGTCTGACTTCCAGTTAGAACTTGAGGGAGTTTCTTGAGGTGCTAGAAGGATTGTGCAACATTCCATCGGGAAGAGGTAAGTCAACCTACAGGTGTGTTTAGCTGAAACCCAAAATTTAGGACATCTGGACTGATACATAAGAGGATTATGCCTCACTGGGAAGTTCAGTAGGAAAGGTCTCACAAATATTTGCTTGACGTTAGGTTATACAGTGAGTTGTCTATGAGAGACAATGAATAATATTTGACTTTCAGGGATCACAGTCATATGATTCAGCTATCTTTGGGGACAGGAGAAACAGCTTTAAAAAAATGAAACTATCAGCCAGTAACTAAGGGTTCTCCAGCACTCTCAAACCGTAAGTGTAATATCCAGTGCAATTCAATGGAAATCAAAGGCAGTACCTTTTCTCCATAGCCTCTATCTTTGGTCATCATTTCCCTCAGGGTCTGTAAGACTTTAATGCATAGTTTCTCTTCATTCTCCTCCAGCAGCTGCTTAGTATGCTTTATTAACCTGAATACAAGAGAACCACAGGTCACATCGGGAAAACGTCCTCCAGCTACAGACCTTGCACAAGAAACTTGGTCTAACTAGTCAAGTAAAGAACAAATCTTTACAAAGGGCTCCAACTTTAAATACACTTCGGGGACATCCTTTCCCTTAAGAACCAGTCAGCAGCTATGTCTCACATGCGACACCTGCTGGTTAAGAACAGATAGCAGGCTGACCCGGCAGGAGCTGGCCACATACAATGGAGAGATTATACTAAGTGGAGAAAGCAGACAAGAGTCCTACTCATAAGCATGGCTATTTATCCACTGAGGATTGCTGCTAATACATGCCAATAGTATGTTTTTTAAAACTTCACGAGGTTGGTGGCGGAGCAAACACACACTCTCTGTACTCAGTCTTGTCCTCAGAGGAGCTCCTAGGGCAGAGCCTACCTTTAAGCTAGACAAACAACTAATCCCACAGTGAAAATCAAATGGGGACTTCTTGTCCTAAAACCACTGGTTTCTTTTTAGACTATACCCCATGGCATAAACCAAGAAGTTAAAAACATGTTAGGAAATGACAGCGAGGTCATGGTAGGACCAAGACTTTTGAGGGCCTGGAGGCCTCTGACTGTACCACACATGGTGTTTGCTCCCAACTTGTTGAATGAAGGGGGAAAAAAATGAACAGGCATGCAATTCAAATTGAGGGGGGGGATGTCAGTAAATAGGATCTAACAGACAAGTTTACTTTGGGATGGTCAGAACAAGACTCTTGTATCTGACTCGAACCCACAAAGTTAAAACTGGCCAACGAACGGTTCTTCCAGAACAAGGGTTTGGCCTGGCCATCAGGGTTTTCTGGCTACTGACCACTCTAGATGGAGGCTGCTTACTTGCAAATGAAACCACCACTTTCACATTTCCTCCTGGCATCCGTGTTCTCAGGGAAAAGCAGTTCTGGTCTGTGTAGAACATCCACAAGCACAGACAACTCAGCCTGAACCAGGGGCCTGAGTCGGTCTTCCAGGGCAGACACGATGTCCTGGAATGAAAGCATCGCTTGGTCAGCAGCTCAGGCAGATGCTGGCTAACAAGGTGATACTGTCTCTGCCTAAGCATGTTGTACAGGCTAGGCTGTGTTAGCGTTGCCTTAGTACTGTCTCCTACTTGCTTCCAGTTATTAGATGCTGTCCAATGGTTACCAGAAGCATGGCCTCCCAATTCAGAAAACAAAGGACAAACAAACCAACACTTTCTCCACCCCTCCATCTGATACAGTTTTATGTTACTCAAGGGCCAGCCCACATATCTGTAAGTACAATGCACAAAAGCAAGTTTAACAGTGTGAAAAGATATTTACAGTATGAGTTGAAAATAGCCAGGGAATAGATGGATTCTATGACACTGTTTTCAAGAACAATATCCATATCTAAAAAATACATATCAAATTCCACTAAGATATCACCACTGGTTTTCTCTGGGTAGTGGGATCACAGGAGATTTTTAACATTCTTCTACATAGTTACGAGTACTGTCTGATTCTTTACAATGAGCATTGTTTACACAATCAAGTCATATAAACATGAGCACACAAATGAATGAACATGCTGTATCAACATGCTAAATACATGTACCCTGATAGCATGATGGTCTTCAAATGCAAAACACACAGCTGTAGGAAAGGAAAACAGAGAGAAGTTGAAAGGGCTGCCAGCCCGACACAACAAACACCATTTAAAGGCAAATGATAGGAAACAGACAAGGAGTCATCTTCAAAAGATGCTGCAGCCTGTGCCCATGGCTTGTAGCCTGTCTCAAGGGCTGCTGACTCGATGTTTAACTAGCAGCATGCTAAGACCAGGGAAGAACACAGCACAAGGGGATCTGCATGGGAAGAGACACCCCACTTCAATATTTTAACCTGTTAGGGGTTTTAAAAAAGGAATTAAAAGATATTTTATCCAGCAACTAAAATTAAGGCACATAAAGATAGTCTTAGCTTGTGTTTAAGAAACTCCATGTAATAGTAACAGCTCAATAATGTTTAGGACACATAGAAAGGGATGTAAGATAAGAACATTTCTCCTGGTGGGGGAAGAGGTTCCCAACAAAAATCCTAAGAAATCAGGATGCAGATTCTCTAGCTCACATGCCTTTCATGGAAGTGAAGAAGAGGTTCTCACTAGCTTCCCTAAGAGTATGCTTTGGGGACAGTTTTTCCTCTCTTCTCTCTCCTTTCTCTTCCCTATTTTACTGGTCCTTCTCTCTTCCCCTTCTTTTCACTCTCTACTGGTCCCAACTCCAACATAACTGAAAGCATTTACATGGCATGGAAGTAATTCTTTAACACTGTATTAACATACTGCATGAAATTTGCATCTTTTGAGAAGTCTGGACTTTACACTGAAGTTTGTTTGCACTGTATTTTCAAATGTATGACATTTAGCAATCAGAGCAACAGCGAGAGACAGAGGGGGGAGGAGAGGAGAGAGAGTGCAAGAGTGAGAGTAACAGAGAGTGACAGAGAGTATGTGTGACAGAAAGAGAGAGAGACAGAGAGAGTGTGCGAGAGAGAGGGGGAGAGAGAGAGAGAGTGTGTGTGTGTGTGTGTGTGTGTGTGTGTGTGTGTGTGTGTGTGTGCGTAAGGGGAGAGAGAGAGGGAGAGAAAGAGAGAGAGGGGAAGAGCAACAAGGACGGCAAAGCAGTGATTGGGGAAGGTGCGAATATTGAAGGAACAAGCGTTTAGATGAGAATCAATTATAGAGATGGTTAACTGGCAAGAGCTGTCCTTATTACAACTTTTGTTGCATGAGGGCATCTAATGGTGACAGGAACTTGGGGATAAGGCATAGCTGCAAAATCAGGATCTTTTAAAACACCGACAAGACTTTATAACAAGTTATGACCTACCTATGCAATCTATTCCATTTCCCAGGATATACTTGCTAAATCTAAGAGGCAAGAAAATTTAATGTGTTTGCTGATAACTGACATGGACTGTGCTGTCCAGAGAATATTATTTGCTCATGGAGTGTTGAGCCTCACCTTTCCAAAAGCACAGAAAGTCAGGAAACAGTCCTTAGGAATTAAAGTGACATTCGCTTAAGAATGCCTCTATCACAGGAAGGACTTCAATCTTTAACTTGCCCCTGAAGCTCTCCAGGCCTCCTAGCTGCATAGCCATGCACCTCATTTGTTCTGCACAATCGTCTGTACAAAGGATGCTTTCCACTCATTGCCTCTTTAAATCTGATCTTGGCTCAATGTTACTTCCTCAGCCAAGCATCCCTCATCACCTACCCTAACCCCAGTCAAGATCAGGTGTCATGTTGTCACTTTAGGTTTGTATGTGTACTTAGCTGATTAATGGCCTTCTCTCCTCCAAAACTGAAGACTGTCTGAAAGAGGGAGATCATTTAGGGCTTCTGTTACCATCACATATCACCAGTGCCCAGGGCTGATGAATCAATCAGTGAATTTGTCTTTCTGTAAATTATGGGGCCTCACAGTGACTCAATTATTTTTCCAAATGATAGTAATTTTTATCCACAGCAGTAACCTTAGGCACTGTAACAGAAGCCCTTTAGTGCTCACTATACTACATTCCAGGCACTGTTCAAGGGCATGAGTTTTCCAGTGATAGCCATTACAAAATCCCCTAGTTCTCACATTGCTGTAATAGGGCACTGACATCTTTCCCATTGAATAGTAGTTTGAATTGCCCTCCCAGGAAATAAAGTGTGCCTCTGAGGCTGCATTGACCAATAGAGGGCAGCAGAATTAATGTCAAGAGACATCTTTAAAGCTGGGTGATAAAGACAAAACTGCTTTCAAGAGGTCCCTAGAAATGTTTATAGACTCAGCTGTCATGACGTGAGGACGCCCAGGCCACAGGGAGGTTCTACCGAGATTTCAGACAGTGAGACAGCTGACACTCAGCATCAACTGTCTAACAGATGAGTGGACCCCCATTCTGAAGCTTTCGTTTACCAAATGACTTTGTCCTCCTGGCCTCACAGGACCTCTCTCAGTAGCCAACCTTGTGTGTTTTGTGGCTTGAGAAAATACAATTGTGGCCGTCAAGTTAAACTCCCCTTCCTTCAGCATCAGACATTACCTGTAATCTCTCGATGATATTTCGGTAGTCCCTGGAAGCTGCCAGAACAGAGTCTCGACGAGCAGCATTGCGGGCTGATAACCGCCAGTTCATGGCTGTTTTCTGCACAATGTTGTGGGACTTCAGGAAGAGGTTGTTGACTTGACTGTCCAGATCAACAGGGATGGCTATGGCCCGACTCTTGGCTGCAAAAGAGACAGATGACTCATGAGTTCACAACTTTCACAGTGGTAGGATAAGAGTTTTAATTCTCAGTAGTCACTAGGCTGATTTTTTCCACGCCTATAATGGGCAAGCATGTATGGTATGGTGAAGATTGAGAGAGAGAGAGATCGATCTTTAGCCATATTTTAGGTTAGGATTTCCCAATGCGAATTCTGGGGACAGGAGCAACCGTGAACACTAAAATGGTGCCAAGTGATAAAGTCATAGTAGCAGCTCAATGCCAGTTTGCTTTTTAAATGAATGACTTCCTACAAATGGCCACATGGTCATATGTTTTAAGAACCATCCAGACAACTTGCTAGGTCAGGAAATTGTTTTTTTTAAAGATGATCAAACTTTGCTGTCCTACATCACAGTCTACAGAAAGCTGGCTTCTGCTGACCAGAGCATAAACAGCATGCACACTATAGGTCTTCCTTCCTTCAATAAAAAGGACAATTCCATGCTCAGCACGAGGAAACACAACACAGTGAAATCCATCACAGGAACACTCAAAAAGACATCTGACCAGACTGCCAAGGCCACGAATAACAACAAAAAAAGCAAGAAACTGTCACAGACTACAGTACTGAGGACCTGGCAATTGAGTACTCGAGAGGTGTGGAGGTATACCCAGGTGCAGGAAAAGGACATTCATGGGAACATTGGTGAAATCGGAATCAAGTCAGAAGTTAGCTGGGGACAATGTATCAGTGTCATTCTTTAACTTTTGACAAATGTGTGATGGAGATGTTGATAATGGAGGGAAAAGGTGAGGACGACACAGGAACCCTAATGTATCTTCTTTATAATTTTCACACGAATGATGAGGGAAGTCCTTCTGTGTATACGTCTCTCTTATTGGTTAATGAATAAAACACTTTTGGCCAATAGGAAAGCAAAATAGGTAGGGCTAGGAATCGAGGAGGATTCTGAGAAATGTAGTAAAGAGAGGAGTTGCCATGTGATCCCAGGAAGAGCAGATGCATAAGGCCGGCGTCCTTATAAAAATATATAGATTAGTAGTTATGGTTGATAAGTAAGACAGACCTAGCAAATAAGAAATCCTAGTCATTGGCCAGCAGCAGTGTAACTAATATAAGACTCTGTGTGTTATTTGGGGGCACTAAAGCGGTGATAGAACCCAGGCAGCTGGCAGAAAGCGTTAATGTTACACACAAATCTGAAAGTAATACTAAATATAAATTAGCTAAAAAGGAAACTAAGATGAACACTTCCATGTGGGGAATCCTGCCCAAACAAAAGGAACCATTTCTTATCTTCAGTGCTTCAAAATACTGCAAGAAAGTGCTCTCTAATGCCTGTATCTAATTGTACAAAGAACTACACCATTCTGAAAGATGTGTTAGACAGCAACCATTTTTATCTTTATAGAACATATAATTCACAGGAAAAAAATCAATAGCTAGTTGATAATTTTCTAACAGTTTACTCTATTAGATAGAAAACAATGGGAGAAAAAATATAATATAAAAAAGTAGGACACATAGTTTACACTCATCTCTGCTATAAAACCCATGCCCTGGGGGCCAGAGAGATGGCTCATTGTTTAAGAACACTGGCTGTTTTTCCAGAGGACCCAGGTTCAATTCCCAACACCCACATGGCAGCTCACAACTGTAACTCCAAGATCTGACACCCTCACACAGATATACACATGGGTAAAAAACCAATGCAAACAAAATAAAGACAAATAAAGAAAATCTGTGCCCTGGCTGAGCTCCCTAAAACTTCACAGGGCACATGGGGTCTCAGGTATGGTTTAAGTCAGGAGGAGGCCATTCCCAAGGGGCACAGGACTGGGTTTTAGGAGTGAAGAGGCTGGGCTATTTTCATGACTTTGTACAAACATCAGCTCTCTGTTTTGTTTTTTATTTCTTTCCAGTTCTAGGGACTGAACCCAGGGCCTCATGCAGATGAGGCAAGTTCTCGACTACTGAGCTGTGTGTTCTTACTTTCTCTGTGTTGTTATTACTGTGAGGACTACTGAATGATGCAGCTTCGCTAATCAAATATATCTGGCCATCAAGCCAGGGGCTTTCTCAAATTTGAGTCAACTAACTTATGGGGCAAGGGCTCACTCAGACATTTCAGTGTGAACAGCATGTCACATCTCTATAAATTGCTGTCAAGTCTGAAGAAAGCAGAGGGTCATTCAGGCATCTTTTCAGCCTAGTCTCTCAACACACACACACACACACACACACACACACACACACACACAGGCACGCAATATGTGTCATATGAGAGGATAAGAACATAGGAAATCAGGCAGGGCCTACAAAACCAAGGCAAGGGATCCTCACAAACACACCCCTTGCTCATCTAAAAGCTGCATCCCAGAACACAGAATTGCTCATTTGTTTAATCTTCTGGTCACTATGGAAACCCTCTTTCCTGTAAAGTACCCAGGAAACACCCTTTCTGAGAAGTGTTGCCCTTACTGTTTGTCAGGACCTGGGGATCTAGTTCAGTCCCAAGACTTCTCACCTGAGGTAGGAAGCGTTTTCTTTTGCATAGAACTTAGGGATGGCGGGGAAGGGGTAACATCATAAGTTTGTTTTTAAGAAGTAAAAGAAGAAAAGTGGTCAGCAAAGGCAGAGGGAGAAGGCCTAGAGAAAGGCTGGATAATGGGCATCCGTAGGGTAACCATAAGGTATAGCAATTTACCAACTATTTCAAACTAATTAGAAGAAAGAAGTCTGAAGTTCCCACCACATGGGAAGCTAATTATCCCAACATGCTGTATCCCAGAAATATATACAGTGATGATGCCACTTAAAAACTTTTCTGAAAAGGGCTGGGGTGCAGTTCCATGCTAGAGTGCCTGCCTAATATGGAACAGGCCTGGGTGCAATATCCAGCATCACAGGAAGAAAAAGGGTGGGGAGGATAATTGCCTTTTAGAAAGGCCTTTGAGATGAGAGTCTTGGGGGTTAGGGACCGAAGAGAGAAGGAGGACCCAGCCGCTACACAGGGAGAGGAAAACAATGCACCACTTGTGGGAAAGGGTGCTCCGTGGGATCTGATGGGTGCTTTACGGGAAGAAGGTTTCCATATAGCAAAATGCATCTGCTGGAGTAAACAAACTCATGCTTCAAACGAGGGACTTCCCGGGGCCTTGAATGTCTTTGTGGATAGGCACTTGCCAAGAACTCTCTGACTTTGAACTATGGAATCTTATTTTTCAAGGACTTACTGGTTCTTACTGTGCCGGCTTGGCAAAGACAGAGGCTGAGGAATCAAGAAGAACCAGGTCCGGCCTTGCAGCTTCCTTCCTTACAAGAGGCTCGGTAAACAGTGGGCAATTCGTTTGCATCCCATTGTATCCACACTGATTAGGTATCTTACCTACATCAGAGAGCACCCGGATACAGCTCTCCACGGAGGCCTTCTGGCTCGGCATTAACCAGTTGCAGTGGTAAACTCTGAACACACCTTGCAGGAGTTGCACAAACACAGGTTGGCGGGTCTGTAAGGAGGAGAGGCCAGGTGAAGAAGATTGTGTCAAACACTGATGACCTGATTAAAAACAGACACTGTCCGGAGTCACAAGCTCATGGGAGGACTCCCGAAGGGCAAGGGGGTGAATTCCAGAAGATGTTTCCAGTAATGTAGCTGTTAACTAGCCCCTAAAGGGCCACGTCTTAAAGAGTGGCAGGCACCACTGGAATGAGGTGGAACTGAGAAAGAGGCCCTTCAGACATCAGAAGAAGGCCTTGACAGGAACTGTGGGACCTTGACTCTTTTGGTTTATTATCGGTTGAACAGGTCTCCCCACAGACGCTTCTGCCTCACCATGTGCCCAAAGCTCAGGACCAAGTCATCGTGGACAGAAACCTTCTCAAAGCTAAAGAGGCCAAATCAATCCTTTTTTCTATGTAACAATTATTTCAGGTTTTTCACTGTAGTGGCAGAAAGCTGATGAACATAGCACCTAGATAACAAAAATTTAGGATCCTTTTAAAACAATAACATATCATTGTCACAAACTTGATGCTACTTATTTTTTATGCATTTGAAACTTGATATTATCGAATTAATTCTGACCACAAGCATCAGTGGTGGAATCAAACTCCTGAAAGCAGTGCCCTGGTCCGGTTATGAACCTACTGAATTACTCGAAGTCAGTGATTTCACCTTGGCATTAGCTTCATCCAATATATATGGCAGATCACAGTAAATTACCCTAATCTTTCCTCCAAGCACTATGTCCTAAGAGTAAAATCCAGACTAGCCTCAGACTCATGGTTCTTCTGCTTCGGGCTCCCAACTGCTGCATTAGAGGCACAGGTCACCAAGCTCAGTCAGAATTTGCATGTTTAAAACATTTTTACTTTTATTTTTTGTTTATATGATGCAGGTATGCCACGGGGAAGTCAGTTCTGGCCTTTTAACACTTGGGCTCTAAGGATATAACCGACATTATTAGGCATAATGGCAAGTGTCTTTACTCACTGAGCCATCTCACTGGCCCGAGAAACTGTATTTTTAATTCACAAAAATGAAATGCTAAGTGTATGTTAGCCAGAATCTACCCCCTACCTTATTTATGACAGTGTCTTCACTGATAGAAAGATAACCCTGCTGTGATGGGTAGTTTCTATAAATATTCCTTTAACACAACACACTGGGTATAAGTAAGCTACCTCCCATGAGAAGAGCCCTCTGTCTCTGTGAAGGTCTAAGTGTGCACTCCCTTTAAAGTAAGAGAATGCATATATCTACTGAATTAGATACCAGCTTCCTGGATGCTTTTTGAAATGGTGATTTTTTTCATCTCTCCCCAAATGATAGCTTTGAACCTATCAGGCAAAGGTAATTGTTGATGATGAGGTAGGCCACGGTCATCTGTTTGGGACAGATGATTCACTCAGCTTCACCAAAAACTAATGGAATGGAGCAAAGAGAAAAGTAGTAGAAATTCTAAAGGGATTTCAGTGATGGAAGAAAAGGAACCACACTGGAGGGAAAGAATCCATTTTTAAAAAAATGAAACAGTAATAGAATAGTCAGTTTCCTCTGTAAATGTGGTTCGTGTATCTTCCCTTCCTTAAGTGTAGAATACAAGCCAGCATGTCATGCATGATCTCATTTGGGCCCGTGTCATATGTGACACGGAAGTTACCTTGGTGTTATAATGAAAGACAAGGGGTAGGGAAGGATAAAATTATCCGAGGGTGCTAAGAGGGGCCAGCAGGGCATTGAGTCAGCTGGCTGCCACCATCCAGTTCACCTGGGACTGAAATCTCCAGGAAGTGCATCCTGTCCTGCACTCCCACCATCCAGCATTAAGCTACATTGCTCATAGAGGTCAAGGGTGCAGGGAGCCAGAGGAATTGGCAAAGAAACCAGGAATCAGCTCCTAAGTTTGGTGACTTTCTCTTAGCTCCTGAGTTTACACAGGGGCCCACTCAAAACAGCCATAGGCCCCGAGTGCTTCCCCCTGGCCAGGCCCTGTGCTAAGTGTGTCACAGATACCTGATTGAGCCTCAGTGTGACCGTGTGAAGAAGGAGGTGACATCACTGGAAATGCTGAACTTGGGATGAGAACTCTAGAGTCTAACTCACAGAGAAGTTTCTCTCCATTACTCAATTTGCCTGAACCACTAGTTTATGAACCATCTACTTGTTCCTGGGGATATAAATGATGACCTAACTGGTCACCAGTAGCTGTTTCCTAATTGCCAAATGCAACAGAAAACCTGGTGACATCAGCTCACATGACTTCTTGACCAAAATGACGCCTTTGGTTGGTACATTGTTTGACTGGATGGGTGATCAAGGGAAATACAGGAATTGTGCAATTGCAGGGATTGTCCACAAGGGGGTGCTATTTGAAAGTGGTGGAACCGTTGATAGGCAAGGGAGGCATTGTGAAAGGGACAGCAGAATTGTGGCTCCTATCCATCCCTTTCTTTCCTTCCCATCCCCACCCCTGTCTCCAGCTCAGCTCACTTTGCAGCTACATGTTATCCCATTTTCCCTTACCAGAGCAGAGCTGAAGCAAGTTCCTCACTGTAATGTGAAACTAATTTAGTTATCCATCACCCACTTACTAAGCCTCGCCCTTCCCAGGTCGTGAGGTCCTACTTGGTTCTGAATCCTATCCTGCCTGCTTCTTCCTCTGGCCTCCATACCTCCCCCCTTGCCTCTTTCATGTTCTCTTCAGGACCACTGAAATCCCTTCTTCACTGTCATGGCTAAGACTTTAGTCTATTTTTAACTTTTGCTCATTACCACTCCTTCTGACTCTCAGAAATTCAAGTGCTCATTCAAAAACCTGATAACCAGGTGCCAGTCAACAAATGGCCCAGCAACATCTGAGAGACAACGGTCTACAGACTGTGAAGGCGTTCACATTGAACCACCGGCTGTGTGCTAGACACTGTACTGAATGCTTCAAATAAACATCGCGTCTCCTTCTCACAACAACATGGAAAGTTGACATTATATCCCCGGTAGACATATAGGAAAGGAAATTCTGAGCCAGGTGTGGTGGCACCCTTGAGAAGGTGAAGCAGGAGATTCAGGAATCCAAGGCCACTTTTGGCAACAGAGTGAGTCTGAAGCCACTGCAGGCTACATAAAATCACATTTCAAAACAGAAAGACAAACCAAAAGAGAAGACATGGGAAGGGGAGGAGGGATAAAGGAGAAGGGAGGGCACTGGAAACTCAGTGACCTCGCCATCTTAACAGAGCTTGCAGGGGACAGAATGGAAATTTGAATACAATCTGTCTCGCTCTAAAGCCTCCAGAATTCTCCTCTTCCTCCCTGGATTCCACATTTCCAAGCTGCCTCTTGGACATTTTGCTGGCAGCTCGAAAGCACTACATCTAATGCCAAGTTCATCTTTTCTGTCCCTGGCATGTGTGGAGGGAGGGAGGGAAGAGACACTGAGAGCCATCTAGCTAGGGAGAAGACATGCCCTACAAAAGAGAAGCAGGGGAGGCTACAAGACTACGACAGGGAGTGTTCATTAGCAGGGATTGCGCAGAAATCTACCAGCCACTTCCTTAAAATTAGACTTTGAATTCCGATACATGCCGATGCTCTACGCCTTAGGAGGGACTCAGAACATTTGTCATTAGAAGATTTACTTCTCTGGTAATTCTTGCTTATTAGTTAGTTAAATTTGTTCCACAAAAGGGAATAGTAACAGCTAAGGTGAGAAGCCATAACATAAATACTATTTAAAGCTTTACTTTAGAGAGTGTGTGGTGTGTGTGTGTTCGCATGCTCGTGTGTGTGTGTGTGTGTGTGTGTGTGTGTGTGCGCGCGCGCGCGCGCGCGCGCGTGCGCGCGTGCGCACACACACAGGTGCACAGGTTCAACAGCACAGTTGCAGAAGTCAGAGGACAATTCTTAGGAGTTGTTTCTCTCTTGCTGTAAGGACTGAACTCAGGTCATCAGGCCTGTGAGTAAGTTTTGCTGAGCCATCAGCCGGCCCACAGTACTCATTGTACGGCTTTCAAAACTGTTCCATGATTCCTGGGGGACATCACCATAGTGATTGTAACTTTATTCTATGAGAGAAGCAGGTCTCGCCTCTCTAACCATTGTGCATTCCTGGTTGGCACTTAGTACAAACATATGCACCTGGCTTCTACTGAGCTCCTGCTGTACTTCTCAGGTATGTACAGACTTTCAAAGGTGACACGGTAACTGCATTCCTCCATGGCTTAACTACTGAAGGTTAGCTATTTCTAAACTAAGTTTCTAGGCAGTGTTTAAGAAAACAAACCTTACTGAAAAGTTCATATTTTGCCTTAGGGTTGGCCAGCACAGGTTGAAATCATGGTGATGCCACTTGGCACCCGAGAGCATGGCTGGGATGAGAGCTGAAGCACCTGGGCTGAGTTTACTCCATTGCAAAATTCCATCCACTTCACAGCCAGTGGTGAGCTTACATGAATTCTTAGTTTTAATTCCTTTTAATTCTTTTAAATAAGCACACGAGTGCAGGTGCCTACAGAGGCTCTGGCCTAGAGCCAGAGTTAGTGTGTTGTGAGCCACCTGATGTGGGTGCTGGGAACTGGACTTGGGTCCCCTGGAAGAACAGTACATGCTCTTAATTGCTGAGCCATCTCTCCAGTCCTAAAATAATTCTTTTGTAATTACTGAAGTACATAAAATCATAAATCCATTATACAAATTGGCTACAAATCATTCTTCTCTTGGAGAATTTATATTACTTTTTAATTTATTTTTATTGGGGAATTTACACTTTACAATATGTCTCTTACTCAGCCATCCTAGTCCAATCATCAGTTCATGAAAAGGATAATTGGTGACTTTCTGGCTATCAGAAATTGAGCCCTGCTTTCACTCTGCAGCCTGAACAATGGGCCTATGGTCACTGCTTTAGTGACCAATTCAGATGTGAGTTGTAAAAAGCAAAGTGTTGTTTTCAATTGAAATAGTGAAGATGTCCCCTAAGTCTATAGAGTACAGGCTTTGACAAGGTAAGTACAGGGAGAGGCCTCTGGCAAGGCTGCACAGTTGGAGAAGGCCTCACAGAGAATTCCATGTGAATGGTGTTCTACAGAGTTGGTGAGGTAGAAGCTACTGTGTTCCACTAAACAACCTCTCACCTCAGCCACATGGCACTTCTGAGGAATTCTAGGTGTACACTCTCAGTTAAAAGGCAGAGTTCTTGGTATTTGGAGATTACGGAAGAGAGGTTGGAATAAAAGAATTTCAGGACAAACCCCTACATTTTCAGGTGTAGTCAGTCTTAGGTATCCTTGGGTTCTCTGTCTGTAGAATTAATCAGGGAAAATGCCTGAAAAATGATCAGGTCTGTATGGAATTCATAGACATTTTGCCTTGTCTCAGGCCCTGAACAATATAGTGGACCTACTACTCACCGAGCAGCTGCATAGTGTGGCTCATTGCAAGTCTTCCAGAGATGACTTAAAGTCTTCGGAAGCATGTGGGTAGGTCTTATGTAAATTCTATACAATTACTACAGCATTTAGTATTCAGAACTTGAGCATCCCTGGGTTAGGTATGTGAGGACAGGGGAGGCCCCAGAGCCAATTCCTAGAGACACCACGGTCAACTGCACCTGTGCTCCCAAGAGTCCCTGACAAAGCGACCTTCTGTTCTGACTTTGCAGAGTGGCTCATTTACAGCAGCTTCTCCACACTGCCTAGGCCTGGACTGCAGATGCCCACATGAAAGCCCTGCCACAAGAGGCATTTCTCACCTGCAGAGTGGTACTCTGGTCTGAGAAGGGAGAGCTGAAGAAGGTGGTGACTATGCTCATCACGATTTCAGTGACGTACTTCTCCAGAATCGAGTCTGCGTGCTTCCTGTCACTCGTGTTGTTGCACGCCTGGAAAACAGATGTCAGCAATGGGACACCCAAACCTACTCAAGAGTACTGAGAAATCCATTGCCTCTCCCACAGATCACCAATCTCGGGACAGAGGTAAAGATCTGTATGTCAGTATTTATCCCAGAAAGAAGTAATTAGAGCAAATAAATAAATAACAGATTCTGTACTGTGGCAAGAGAAGAAAACTCAGCTTGAGTAGTGTGACATAACACACAAGAATAAAATGGGTGAGAGCCTGGCATGGCCGTTCATCCAACTTCCTGCCTGTCTGAAACCCTGAAGAGCAGCACATGGGACCGGAAGTAAAGTAGCCAGTTTCCCTGAAAGGTAAACTGCCCCCAGATAAGTTACTTGTCTATTCTGTCACCCACATAATGAGGTGGCTCAAATGCACCATGGGTCCCTATGCTCTTTAATCCAATCAAATTTTACCGAGATACAGCTTGAAATAGGAGACCATACGTGTAATAGCTGACCTCACGGGTTTGCAATGAGAAGATGCCTTGGATTTTACCTGTCCACTACTTAATTTTTCTACTTAGAATAAGAGTAGCCCTTTATCAGGTTAGAGAATAAAATTTAAAACAAATTTATTAGTCCTATACCTTGAATTGTAAAAATTACTTATAAGATGAAATAAGGAATTATTAAAAAGAAAACCAATAAGGACTAAGAACAATCAAGTTTTATGAACAGACTCACAAATTCAGAACTGTTCATAGCATAAAATTCACAGTTGGCTTTATGGCATTTCTGAACAGGAATGACAGACAGACATATCCTACTCAAATGCCCATATGTACACACACACACACACACACACACACACACACACAGACGCCTCACCCTGCAGATGTCCACACACACAGACACACACACACACACACACACACACACACACACACACACACACACACACACACAGACACGCCTCACCCTGCAGATGTCCACAAGGAAATTCTCGAACAATTTCCACATGTGATTGCTTGTGTAAATCTCCTTCATTTCCACCTCAGTGTCCACATAGCAGTGATTCAGGAAGTTAATGTAAGCGATTTTAACCTGCAGGAGGAAAGAAGCTTTTGTGAAAATTCAGCTCAGTACCCGAGGAGCCCTCGGCTCCATCCTCCTCACAGACAGGCATGGCGCACAGTGGCATTCCACCTCCCCTGCTGGCTTTTGTTTCTGTGACCTTTTGATTTTCCAAATTCATAATCATAAAATTCAAAACCATAATGCTTTAGGGAGAGAATGTTTTTATGGTCCTGAGATAAAATGGTGTGAAATAAACTCTGAATGAGCAGCTCAAGTTTAGCTGCACTGTTCCTATTTTCGAAGGCTCCATTAAGTTTTACATGGCTCAGGCTGGGAGGTGTTTGCAATGAGTGAACCAGGGAAGACATGGCCTATGTCCACACAAAAGATGAAAGCAGGTGTCCACAGCAGTACCCTTTATAACAGCTAACGAGTGGAAAGGGCGCAAAACTGTGTCAGTGAAGGCTGGAGAAACAAAATGTGGTATTTGGCTATATGGAAGTATTACTTGGCAATAATCAAGTACCAATGCATGTAAAACTTGCACAGGCTGTGAAAAACCATGCTAAGTGCAATAATTCAGCCAGAACAAGACATGCATGTGTGATTTCAATTATACCGAATGATCACAAGAGGCAGAGAAAAATCAGTGACTATCTAGGCTGGGGGGAACCAGAAAGAAACAAGGAGTGGCTACTAGCTAGTCTGGGTTTCTTCTGGAGTAAACAGATGATGATGGTGACTATACAACTCTGTGACTACAACTACTATTTGTACAGTTTAAACGAGTGAATTATCTGGTATGTAAATACTTGAAAATTAACTGAGCACCAGGAGATACCACTCCACAATAAGCCCATTGAAACAAAAGGGACCAGTGTGGTGATATTTTGTTTATGATCTAACAAAGCTTGCCTGAAGATCAGAGTGCAGAACTAGCCAGACTAGTTAGCCAAAGAGGTCAGGCAGTGGGGATACACACCTTTAATCTCAGGACTCAGGAGACAGAGGCATACGGATCTCTGTTACTTCAAGGCCACCCTGGGCTACACAAAACTGATCCAGTCTAAAAGAGAAACAGAGTTAAATAGTGGTGGCTCACACCTTTAATCCCAGTACTTGGGAGTCACAAGCCTTTAATCCCAGCACTAGACAGGTGGAGACAGGAAAGGGATATGGCTTGGAGGAGAGGGGAATATAAGGCGTGGGGAGACAGGAGCTCAGAGCATTCAGTCTGAGGATTTATAGGGACAGGATCATCCCTTTGGTCTGAGGATTCACTAGAGGTAAGAATTCGTGGCTGGCTCTGATCTTCCAGCATTTACCCCTATATCTGACTCAGGGTTTTTATTATTAAGACCTCTTAGAATTCATGCTACAGACCAGATAACATCAAGTGTTGACAGGGCTGCAGTGCAATGAGAGATCTTGATGGACTCGGGATGTCAAGGAGAGCAAGTCTTCCAGAATAAATTAGACATTACCAGATGACTTGAAGTAATATGCCCCCATTGGCTCAGCACTAGGAAATGGAAACAACCTAAATATCCTTAAACTGATGGTGGACAATAAAAACGTGGTGTAGATACACAGTGGACTTCTAGTCGGTTGTAAAGAAAAACAAAATCATGAAATTTCCAGGTAATGGACGGAACTAGGAAACATTATATAATTGAGATAATATAGGACCAGAAAGACAAGCACCATTTTTCTCTTATTTGTGAGGCCCAAGTCTTCAGATGTGACTATATTATCTGGAGTAACTACAGACAGCAGGGATGTTAAAAGGAACCATTGTAATGAGTCTTTTTCTGTCCCTCCAGCCAGTTCCCAAATAATGACATGGAGACTTCTTTTTAAGTATGTAATCTTGACCTGTAGCTTAGGCTTGTTCCTAACTAACTCTTATAACTTAAATTAACCACTTATATTCATCCACATTCTATCACATGGTGTCACTTCTCTTCCATCCTGCACCTCCTGTTTCCTTTCCACATCCCCTGGCGTCTCCTGAACACCTAGATTCCTCCTCCTTCTCCTTTCTCTCCCCAGAAATCCCACCTATACCTCCTACCTAGCTACTGGCTCTTCAGCTTTTTTATTATACCAATCACAGCAATACGCCTGCACACAGGGTACAAATATCCCATGGTGACAGTGGGGGACAGGAACACTAGAGTAGGATATAGAAGGACACAGCTACTATGCAGAGGGAAATGGGAAAAATAGGTGAAGAGATTTATTTCCTTGTTTGTCTGTCTGAGCTAGAGTTTTACTGTGTATCTCTGTATGACCTGGTATTTACTATGTAGCCCAGGCTAGTCTCACATTCATGGCAATCCTCCTGGCCCTCCCTGCTGAGTGCTGGGATAATTGGAAAATGCCACCATACCCAGCTTTGAAGGTACTCTTTGAAGGAAGTGAAATTATACACCATTTTTTATTTCTTACAATTACCCACAGTTCCCAAATTTTGTATAATGGTCACTTATTATCTCTGTACTAAGAGTTTTTGCTTGAAAGAATTAACTTTCAGGTGAAGGATATCTCAACTCTCTGTTAGCCTCACTTCTAGGCAGTTCAATGGGGCACATACTCTCTGAGCTGAATTTGTTCCACAGCCCTGAGGCTTTTATCCCACTCTCTGTGAGGAAGCAGAGACTCATGTGCCTCCCGTTCTTTCACAGAAAATCAATATCCAGAAAAACACCAGTGGTGGGAAAAGTTTTTACAACATGAGCTGTGTAGGGTGTTAAACCCGAGGGCTTACCAGGCCAGCCACCATGTCTCTACCCAGCCACAGCCCAATGTGCGACACAGAGCCTGACAGAAGGGTGCCCTGAGGGCCAAGCTGCTCACCTCCGGGATGCAGTCTTCATGAGTGACCACACGAACGATGTCATCAAGCGGGAGCAAGGAGTTGCACTTGATCTCTGTGTACACATTCTTGCCCTCTGTGCACACGGCCAAGAGTTCCACCAGATGGATGTGGTACATGAGAGGGCTGTTCTCATCCATCCGGTCACGCTCGGACCGCATCATCTGGATCAGAGTCTGGAAAGAGGCTCTGTCATTGTAGAACACGAGGACATCCTCTCCAGAATTGACAAGCTACAAAGAGAAAAGTGCTCATTGGTGTTGCAAGCTTTCAAGAGTGAGGCAGCCTTACAAAATTCTACGTGTAGAGTAAGAAAGACTTACTTTCCCAAGTAACTTGTGTCTGTATCACTAAACTCATCTAGATCCAACTTGCTCCTAGACTAACCAAACAATATTTCTTAACAACGTCATGTGAATCAAAGGACACACAAGTAATCAGGGTGATTATAACAAATCTACTAGGGAAAGACTAGTCTGTACACAAGGATATTAAATGGGAATGCAGACTACTAGCCTGCATGATCAGCTATTGTTTTTCTAGCATAAATACTTCCATCTTTTGGTATATTTTAGAAGGCATCCTGATACAAGTCTTCCATCCAATGTCTTATCTCTTTGACCATAAATTATCCACTTATAACTAAGATGCATTCCTTTAATCCCTCATCAAAATGTCATGTTATTTTAGGGAAGTACAGTGATGCATGCCTATTTGTCTCCTAGGATGTGGCGCCCAATGAATCTATTTTAATATACATCAATTTTAGCATTATATGAAGTACAAAAGTTTTAAAACAGGCTGGCACAGAAGTCAAATTAAACTCAGTGATTACTACTGACTCCTCAGCTCAGTAGGTGGAGAAATTTATAGTTATCTTTTGGAATTACTAGGTATTGAGCCCCAGTAGTCTATTGGCTTATTAGCTGCCAACTTTAATGAGTTCTAATCAAGGGTTTAGATCCCAAGACAAATAATTTTGCTAGGTTACTTAAGCTCATTGTGCCTCAGTTTCTTTTCTAAGTAAAAATGGGGACAAAATATGACCTATAACTCAAGAGTTTTGTTGTACGGAATAATTAAATGATCAAAACAAATTTCTCAGAATAATATGCGGACCAGTGTAGACTTCAAATAAATGTTAGCTATTACTGTTGTTATTATCATTACCTCACTTAATCCACATAGTACACGAAAACACTCATTTAACAGAAATGCTAAGAAGTCCTGAGATATCAAGACACAGGAGTCAATTACATGCAAGCCAGTAAACAATGCAGCAAGCATTTGCACCTTCCAACTCTACTGCCCCTATGGGGCCATAGATGTAGACAGTATAATAAATCCAAGCATAGGATGAGTATACTTAAATCCCATGGGAGCCATCATCGTGTTTGCAGGATGGGCCTGCCTAATCCAAGACAATATTCAACACACAGAACCAACTTCCGCAAAGAACCAAATGAAACTTCTGCCTCCATCCGGTAGACCAGATGCTCGTTGTGAAATATTAAGTCAAAACCATTCAAGCTAATTAATTAGGTGAATAATCAAATAAAAAGTCATAATGCCTGAAGAGGAAGCCGTTCTGGCTTATTGGTTTCACTCACATTTAATCTCCACATAGACATTGGTCTAGCATTCATCTTCCTTTTTTCAGTCTGAGGAGTTCAAGCCAAATTGCCTTACAATAGATTTACTGCTACAAAGAAGCAATCAGACTCTTGCCTAAGCTACAAATGTAAAACTACGCACATGTACAAGTACACCCTTCCTTTCCATATGGCTCCTCGAGAGGGTGCCAAATCACATAGCTAAGACTAACTTAAGTTTCTACAGAACACCAGATGGAGGTAGATGGAAATATGTGGTTGTCACCTCAGCCATGACCATGTCTTGGCACTTTTTAATGAATTTCCCTTCTGCCTTGACAATTGTCTGGAGAAACTTGATGTACTGGACATTTCGGCCGTGGGTCTCTATGCAGTGAACGAAGTGCTGGACCACTCTCTCGTTGATCTCACTGCACAGCTGGAAGTTGTTCATGAAGATGTGTTGCATGGTCACTGCCTCCAGGATCTGGCACAAGACAAGGGCCAAGTACAAGGATGGTCAGAAAGAGGCCAGAGCAGGCAGGCTAAACCGTGAGATGAGCAAGGCTACTAAAGCCCAGAAGGCCATTATACATTTGAACACGCTTCTCGCTTTTGCTTCATGCTACTCTGTTTGTTAGCAAACTTCTTGTTTTTACAAGATACTGTTAAAAGGCTTTTGAAAAGGTGTTGTGTGTATTTTACAGTACAGTTTACAGTATAGCACAGCTGTTTGAGATTTATGTGTATAAATGTTTTGTCTGCATGTATGTATGTATACCTCATGTGCCTGGTACATGCAGAAATCAGAGGAGGGTGTCGGGTTCTCTGGAACTGGAGTTATGAATTGTTGTGAGCTACCATGTAGGTGCTAGGAACTGAACCTTCATCCTTTGTGAGAGCAACACGTGTCCTAAGCACTGAGCTATGCCTCCTGCCCAATACAGCTATTTTATACCCCTGTCAACACAGACTTTTTTTTTTTATTTTAGTCAAATCTCGTGTGCCAATTTACATGTCTGGTAACTCATAATGGTGTGAAGACCTTGTCTTGTCAACCAGCTGTGACCATCATGTTTTGACCCTTTTTTTTTTTTTTTTTTTTTTTTTTTTTTTTTTGAGAAAGGCTCTCTTGTATTTCCGTAACTGACTTCCATAAAATTCTTTATAAAGATGCTGGGTATCAATTCTTTGCTGAACACATGTAATGCAAATGTCTTCTTTTCCCACTCTGTGGCTTGCTCTTGCCTGTTCTTAATGATGGCATCTTGGGAACAGAAGCTAATTTTAACAAGGTTTAATTAATGGATATTTTTCTTTATAATTAGTGTTCTTTGCACACTGTAATGTGGCTTGCCACAGAGTCATGAAGAAATCCCATAATATGTTCTAGGAACTTTGTTTTGCACATTTTATACAGAGTTACTCATAGATGCTGAGTTTTATGATTGATATAAGGTAGGTGCTTCTATATTTTTATCTTTTGTTCCCCTTCCTAACACGACAAAGAGCATATACAACCCTATTAACCAGAAACATCTTTTCACAGAGAGCTCCAATGAGTCTACTGAGTGCGTGTAGTTGAACATACAAAAATATCTTTTGCAGTGTCATTTACAAAACCAAAACCTAGACAGTGACTAATTGTTCACTAATAAGAAAGTGAACTTTAACTTACAGCCATTTTATCAAATGCCATTAAGCCATCGAAGACAGTGAGAAAAAACATTATCTCCAATTTACAAAGGCATCAATGATGTATTAAGTGGGAAAAAATGCAATATATAAGATGATGTGTGAAATGTAAGGCCATCTCAAACAAAATTTGCTATACCTCAATCTATCTAGGAATATATACTTAACAAACATACAATATAGAAATGTTTTGTGGGCATATTACATATTTATCTAAGTACTGAGACTTCTCACTTTTGTACTGGTAATTGTGACACAGTAATGGATGTTATTAGGAAAAGAGAGAAATGCATCTTCTTTGCCCTTCCTACTTTGTTTCTTTGGCATGGCAACCTAGACTCACAGTATGGAGTAGTTATGTCAGCTGGTCAAAATGTTCTCCTTTGGAATGAATGCTACATTCTAACAAGTCCCAGAACATACAACATCAAAGGACAACTGGGTCCCCACAGTCTGCCCAATACAGGTTTTCCCAGAGGCTTGGTATCTCACCCCTGGGTTGAGAAACAGGTTTATGTGTTTATGCAGCAAAGCTTGATTCTGCTGGTTGCCTGCACAGAAATTCTGCAAGAATTCATGAGCCAGCCTCATTATCTCCTGCATCTTGGTGTCTTCGGCCTGTGTGGGAGGAGAGACGGGAAAAGCACTTATTTGTAAGGCTTCTGCTTTGTGCTAATACCTTTCACCAAGGTGGGATCCTGAGGCGTGTGCTCAGGACACTGTGGGTAGAGTGAGGTGCTTGTATGACCCACTAAGAAGCAGCCAGGAATGAACAGTTATGCCCCTTGACTGAAAATGAATTCTTTCCCACTGGTCACTAGCACAAACACAAAGCTTTTGCAAAGGAAAAGGCCACCAAATCAAAGTTAATGGAAGGATCCCACTGTTTACTGTTGGCTGAATTTCTGAATTCCTACTTTTGAGAATGGCTGCTGACAGCAGGGTAGGGGCCATTTCACCCCTGCTGGTAAATCCTCAGCTCATCTGCTGACTTTTTAGGGCTTACACATTGCATTGTCAAGCTTAGCAACTTCCAGCAGCAGCACATACCCAGGGAAGATAAGTCCTTAAGATTATAAATTTTATGAATTAGGACAGCTGCACTGGCTCTACTGCTTTCTCTGTAACCCCAGTCATATCTGTAAACTAAGATTCAGCTTTCCCTTCTGAAAAATGGGACAATATCTGCCCTGGTCATATCACATAGTTGGTCACATGACTCCCCCATAATTCAGACGATGTGATTTCATATTAGCATTTTTGATGTTAGTAAAGAGTTCGATGTTGTTATAAAACAGAAAACCTACTGGTATTATGCCCAGCTCTCAATCACAAACACTTGATGCAGTAAAAGGAGGCTGAGACTTTCCAAAGTGGAAGTCACCATTCATATCCTCCTGTCAATAGACACCTGATGCATCTTGTACCTATCACTTCCTCCCAGAGGCAGGAGACTGGCAGCTGGGAAGGAAGACCCTTACTTTGTCTGATTTACTCTGATCTAACTTGGACATGGACCTCCTAGCTGTGTGACCTGGAACAAGCTATTTCAATACTGTGTCTCCATTTTCTCATCTGTAAGTAGAGATAAAAACACGTATACACTTGGTATAGGCATTAGGATGGTGAAGTGAGAAAAACCATGTAGAGTGCTTAGGCACTCATTGCGCAGTACAAGTCAGCTATTCATTCTGGCTTCAACAGAGGTCAGCAAACTCAGAGAGCAAGGCAGAAAAATTTTAGGATTATCAAGTCGAGAAGCTAAACCTAAAACACGCGGGTACTTATGTACATATCTGGAAATATAACAGCTATTCTGAGCTGACATGCTAGGCACAAACAGGCAGTGGGTGGGAACTGGCCCATATGCAAGCAGTGTCATGCTTGGGCAGGGAGTCCTGGGTTATATTAAAAAAGCACACTGTGCAAGCCATGGGGAACTGTGCGAGCCAGTAGGCAGCGTTCCTTCAAAGTCTTGCATCGGTGTCTGCCTCCAGGTTTCTGCCTTGAGTTCTTGCCTTGACTCTCCATAATGATGGGCTATGATCTGAGAGATATAAGATGAAATGAACCATTTCTTCCCCAAGGTACTTTTTGGTCATGGTATGTATCACAGCAATAAAAGCCAAACTAAGATAGTGACCTTCTAAAAATACAATCTCATGGAAGCAAACAACTATAAACAAACAAACAAGTAAATAAATGAAACCAGTGGGGGGAGGGGAGAACTTGGTCCAAATACATACTCATACTCAGATGACAGCAAGGGCCAGAGCAATCAAGTCCCATATTCTTCACACCTTCAAAAACTTGTAGAGATTACTTTGTTTTAGCCATATGGCAGGCAAAGGTGAACCGCACCAACTAATGTGCATACATACGTAACCTCTGGTGTAGACCTAGTAGTCTCCATCTAGCAACGGTTAGGCATGATGGAAGAATGGGATCTTTTTCTTTATAGAATACAAACATTGGAGGTGTGGGGGAGTCTCTCATATAAATTAGCTCGAATTGCTTCATGGCACAAGCACACATTGCTCTTCACAAACTACATCCAATCATGAAGTGTTTGGAGGGGAGATCCAGCCCACCTTAGAGGGCGGCAGCCTGGGTACAAGTCCCTCTCACCTTCTCATAGGGGATCTGCAGCAGCTCCAGCACCACGGCATGGGCACCCATGTTCCTTAGCAGCCGCTGCTGCTGCTTCCTGCTCTTCCTCACTGAGGCGCTTTCTTGCACACAGAGCTTGCTAAGTCGAATCAAAATCTGAGAGGAAGAAATCAATGTCAGAAAGCAAACCTGAACCTGTAGTGTGGGGAGAGGCCTGAAGGGGTGGTATGGGGTGGTATGTAGTGTCCCTGCTGATTGCATGAAAGCCAATCAATGTGAGAAAAGTGTGTCTTTCAGAATAAATGGCACATCTAGTGAAATGAGTTCATGCGTCACTTACATGATCTGACCACACAACAACTGCCCAGACTTAGGAGGGCTTTGCTGCGATAAAAAACACAAAGCTTGCAACTCTGGACTACTAGATGCAGAGATTTCTAAAGCCAAGCATGGACATAAACTCTAAGTGATGACTATATGAAAGAACCTTTGTTCCCCTTCACAACCTGAGAATTACATAGTACCTATTAAAACAAACAAACAAACAAACAAACAAAAAACCAAACTTTGCCTACAAAAGGTGAGGGACTGAGAACACTCAGTTAATACATACAACATCTGAGTCTCAAACTCAGACCTAAGGCTAAAACCCAAGTGTTCAACCTAAGGGTGCTACTTTGTCCCCCATCAAATTTTACACAAAGAAAAAGAGCTCGAGTCATTGTGCCTTCAACTTGCCTATCACTGATAAACCTCCCTAGAGAATGATCAGGACAAGGCAGGCAGGGGGCAGCTCACCTCTTTCACCACTCTGTAGTTGTAGCTGCTGGTGCTTTCATGCTTTTGTGGCTTGTTACTCCCCTCCTAGGGACCAAAAAAGAACATACATGGGGTCGGTGCCTCTCATGGTCTATTTCTAGTTAAACATCACCCATTAAGGAAAAACACACATTCTGCATTGTGTTTCAACAGTCAGGCTGCCCAAGACATTCACCTATTCTTTAACCTTTGGAAGAAGATGCCATGGTCACAGGAGGGCATTCCCTACTGAATCTCTGTGGGAAATGTAGTGCTATTTTTTGCTCAACTAGACTCTTCTATGCAGTCTATGGTTGCCCAGAAATACATCTTAACTTAGATTTTGTAGCTAATTTCCTAGGAGAAAACATGTAGCAAGCAGCTCTTGGGATTAAGACACACTCTATCATCTGCATTTATATTTAAGACTAGGAGAGGATGCTTCCTTGTTTTAAGAAGCAAGAAAGCCACCTTGGAAACCTAACTTGGGGTTTTGCCCACCTCAGTCTTTTTATGTTCATTTTCACCAGAGGCACCATCCATGGTCTCATCAGGACCCTGGCCTTTGTACACCCACAGCTCTGATTTTTCCACAATAGACCGCAACTGGTCCAAGTCCTGCTTGATCTGTTTGTAGTTGTCCACATCTTGGCTGGTAACCAGCAGTTGAACCTTAATGAACACAATCCATTAATTACACGAACCTTAAAATGTACACACACAGACACACATACAGACAAAATCTTTTCACTGTATATAACACACAACAGTTCTTTTGATACACAACAACCATGCTAGCTACAGGAAGTACCTGTTTGAAGGCCTGAAGGACCTCCTGCCTCTGGCTGAAGTGGCGAAAGAGGAGCTGCAGGGCCCCAGACACCAGAGGTGGGTAGTCATGCATTGTCAAGTGGAGCAGGACCCTGAGGAAGGTCCTGCCTCCATGATCATCCAAGTCCAGTGGTGTGTTCTCTTCACTACAGGAACACAGAAAGAGGGAGAAACCAAGTAAACCTCAGAGCCAGGATCATGCATGTGAACCCTGACAGAGCAGAACTGAAGTTCAAACACTACTTATGCACGGGGACCCTCACTTTGCATCAACTTCTTTTTACAAGGCAATTGTGTTTTCCCTTCAGCTACAATGTGATGCTATAACTATATTTTCAAACCAAAGTCCTTGTGCTCCTAAGCTAGCAGGGCTGGCATTACAAGATTCATGGCACCTAACTTACAGTGTTCTTCTACTGCAATTCATCTGGCCTCCAAAATCTACAATGGATGTGCTTCCTCCAAGCTTTTTTTTGTTTAAAGTGCCGAAACAGCATTGACTAAACCATCTGTAATGAAAAGTTATCTTTGAAAGTGTCTAGTCTGTAGCTCTTAGGTATCTTGAACTATACTAAGTCTGTTCACTGTACATCTTGATGATGGGCAAATGTCAAGTGGCTATGCAAGTGTTCAAACCACGACTCTGTTCTACATGTATGCTGTCATCAGCTAGTTTGGTCCCATGATTCCTGATTTGAAATGCTGGAATGAATCAATAAAAAACTCAGTCTGCTCCAAAAGAGATCCAATCAATATATTTATCCGGGATTACTTCAATATCTATGATAGTTATTGTGCTATTTACATAATGTAGATGAATAAACGGACACTGAATTGCATGGTAAATCACTTCACAGCTGGTCACCACTGGACAATTACAGTGTTAGCACCCGATGCTGTGTCTACAGTTGCATGAATGATAAATGGTGAGACCTTCATGGCTGCAAGCTAATAAGAAAAGTACAGAGAGGGCCAGATATGAGAATATTGTAGTAACACTGTATACCTAAAAAGGCATGATGGTTTCACTGCTGTTCAAGATGAGGTAAGTGGCTGGAAACCTGATTTGTCACATGATAACTTAGTGTCAGCATTGTGAACTCAAAATACTGCAAACAGATGTGCCTCAAATTTCATGGCTTTTTAATATTAAGCCCCGAGGCAGACTGATAACATTCACAGTTCCTAGTAAACTTGTTCTTTGCATTGCGCACATTGTAGTCCTCTTTATTAATAACACTAGCCTTGGCCAATAAAACATTAGTAAGCACAGTGCAAGCAGACGTGTAATTAGCGCTTGCTTACTGTTGGCTTGTCTTCTTGGAACATTTGTTCTGGAAATCAGCCATTGCTCTGTAAAGAAGCACAAGCTAACCATGCAGAGCAAGGTTGAATGAAACATCGGCTTTAACATATTCTTTGGAAGGCACCAGAAATAGGAGTCAAACAGGCAGGCTGTGCCATTCCCAGTTACTTTATTACTACAGTTGCATGGCAGACCCAACAGTGACTAGAAGAACTGCTCAGCAGAGGCCCCTGTCAACCTAGAGAACTGTGAGAAATACTTGATGTTCAAATTCTTAAGACTTTTGGAGATGCATATTATTAAGAAATAAGTAACCAAACCAAATATGCTAATTATAATCGCCGTGCGCATAGGGTATTCTTGTAGGTATGCGAGTCCATAGTAATAATGTTTTATGTTATAATTAAGGTCTGTGATGTTAAGTGGGTTTCACATTAGACGTAATTAAAGGTCAAATTGTGGGGCTTTCTCATTTATTTATTTATTTACTTATTTTGTTGTTATTGCTGCATAGCTTGTTCAGAGCGCAGGATCTACCTAAAGCCCATGTGCACCACCTTAGTTCTGTGACTCAGTGGCTTCCAACAGAGCAGTACAAGATCCAGAACCTGAAGGCTAAATAGCTAGTGGTGTGCCCATGAGAAAACCCTGTGAGAATTATAGTAGGCTGCCTTCCGCACTCTTGAACTACCATAACATAGTCTAGGAAAGTATACTTGCCTTCCTCCAAAGATGCCTTCTGCTTGTTCTTCAATGTGCTCAAAGTCAAGAGCACCTGAAAGGCAAGAGAACAGAAGGTTAGATACAAAAAGACCTGGAAACCTGCTTCCATGGACTTACTCCAATGTGCTTCAAGAGCAATGCTCACGGGAGAACCTCAGATCTGCCAAAGTCATGAACTACAAAGCTATGGAGCAGGGCTAGCCCAGATGACCCTCACACCTCTCAGTTTTTGTCTTGCTAAAGGAAAGTGATGGCCTCAATCCAAAGAAGGTTTGGGCTGTCTGAGAATCACTTCAACCTCTGTCTTTCCCTTAACCTTCTCCATTATTTTATGGCTGAGTAGAACTTCAAATATAGAACAGAAGTTGCCAATGGACAATCAAGTTTCTTGGAGAATACTTTCGGGATTCTATTGGTTTTGGGTTGCTTTAGAGGTAATCCCAACACTATAAACCTAAACCTCAGCTGACTTCAGTTCCTAAGGACGTAAAGGCCTACCCCCCAGAAGCAATGTTTACTTTTTTCCCCAATATGCTCTTGATCTAAGAGTCCTTAAAACCCAGTATCCTCAAGAGCAGTCACATCTTACTTTTTTCTGGATGATACTGTTTGGAACCTCAAGTGCCATCACACCCGGATCCCATTCTGTGGCTGAAATTCCAGGCTGGCATCACTAACCTGGTACATTACTTGGCCCTTCTTGGCTGCTGTTTCCGGAGGATGTTTCCGACGACTGGGAATTGCTTTCATCAAACTCCCGCTTAAATATACACAGGAGGCAGGAGATCCTATAATCCAGCCTCACATTCAAAATAAACTAAAGATTCAAGTAGAAATGGAAACACTTTAGTTACATTAACATACCATCCTTAACACTTTGCCAAGCCACTGCACTCTGGCAGTGCCTGCTATCAGCAGCACCAATTACCTCAGGCACCGAGTCAAATATTTGCCTTAGGTTTCAACCGTCATTTTAACAATAGCAGACCTCTGTGGGGCACACGAGTCTGCCCATGAGACACCTTAGCTTCCAGTGCAGACTTTGGCATCCTGAAGATGAATTAAACAACTGGAATACTACATCATTCATGCCTGCATCCTCTACAAAACATGACTATTATTTCAGCAATGACTGAAAGCCAATTCTGGACCTAACCTAAGAAGAAGTTGGCTGCTTTCAATTGAAAAGAACTGACAGAAATTTTGCTTTTACTTCCAAAAATTCACTTCATTTATATTTACAACATATTTCTGATTGCCTCCTCTGATTTAGGTCTAGCCCCCTGGGCTCTCATTTTGTTAACTTCCTATATTTCCCCATCCCTCTACTGCTGCGGACACTTTCCAAAGGATTATTGCTAGAGCCCAGAAGAACAGTCAGCCAGCTGCCTCATTTAAGCAGCCTACGGACACCGCTCCTTCCCCACTCTTCTAGCTTCTGCTTAGCCCTCTGGGTGACCTTACCCAATTTCAGGCTGTCACTGACTCCAGATGGAGACAGATGTTTGACCTGCCTCCAAACTATTAGTCCATGTTCCCAAGTGACGGCTGCACATCCTGTTTGGTATCTTTCCAGAACCTCAAATTCAGTATTATGCAAAACCAACTATAATCGTTACTTCTAGGTGTCAACTTGGATAGATTTAAAGGACACCCAGATGGCTGGCAGGAGGCTGGGGAAATACACAGAAAGGTGAGGAGATGGGCAGAGCGCAATACTGAGTGAGGAAGGAAGGGTCCCTTTTGTTTTCATAGTTTTCCAGTTGTAGGAAGATAGCAATTGACAGGGCACATGGAAACAATCACGTTAGGGGAGAACAGATGAAGAATTGTAAGAGCAAGCCAACTCCTTGTGTGTGGAGAGGAAGAAGTCTAAGGTTGTTTTCAATTTGTGACTCTTGCCCTCATTACATCTCTGAACTCCCAAACAGCTTGGGCTGCTCTCTTTCTGCTCCATGTACATAATTTTTAATCCTCAAACAAGTTCCTTAGTGGGAAGACTCACATTAGCTATGTTAAGAAGAGAAACACAGTAGGTACCATGTTAACCGCTACTTAATTGGCTTAATAATAAATAAATAAATAATAAATAAATAAATAAATAAAGACTCCACTTTAGACTTTTCGCATTCCATAAATCCTAAGATGTCCTGATATGACAATGGCCAGCTCTCACTGCATCTGGGTTTGATCAATCCACCTTACTAAAGAGGTCTTCTCTTACAACTCCATCAGAAACCATTATCCTTGCCCCTCCCCCACCTACGGCATTCTCCGAATCAGCCCACACCCTTCTTCTTTAAAATAATTAACTTTTTACACATGTATTAGTTTTTATCCACATGCTTGTCTGTGCACCACCTGCATGCCTGGTACTCATGGAGGCCTGAAGACAGCCATCCAGTTTCCCAGGAACTGGAGTCACAGATAGTTGTGAGCCACCATATAGTACTGGGAATGGAAGGCAGGTCTTCTAGAAAAGCATGTAAATGCCTTTAACCACTGTCATCTCTGCAGCTTCCAGTTGACTCGTTTTTATTTTTAAATAACTAAGCATTGATTTTTAGATGGCGTGTGCCTATGCTCCCTGTCAAAACAGAGCTTTTTGGGACCAGAACTTTAGTGGGTTTTGTTCATTGCTTGCTTTCCAAGTGCTAAAAGGGACATGGATCTGGTGTCAATTAACATTCCTGGGTGGGTAAGTGGGTAGATGAAAATGGCAGACCATTGAGGGGGAGGAGGAGGGAGGGAGAGGAGGGCTCTGCAATGCTAATAGAACTCTGGAGAAGCACAGTGAATGAACAGCAAAGGCAATGGCTTGGACAGAGAAAGGGAGGCCGGCTGGGATGTAGAGCTAAGGTAACCGAAGGAAGCTCTGGGATGACAGAATAGGCAAAGCCATGATGGGAAGGGGTAGGCAATGGCAACCAAGAATTAAAGGGAGTCAATTGTGAAATGATACACAGGGATGAGGTAAACATTTTGCCCCTGTTCCAGCAGAGAGAAGAGATATTAAGCAGAGATTCTATGAGCATCTTGTTCCCTGCACCATACCTGGAGGATTTCAATGATCTTTAACTTGGTGTCCATGACCATGATGTCCTCCTTCTCTGGCTCTGCCTGCTTCACGTTTCCTTCAGGGGCAGCAGCCATGGGAGTCATGGGCAAAAAGCCTCCTCCCCGAAGCACCACCTGGGTCATGAGCTCCCCAACTCCATGGATTGATCTCATCACGTTACTGCCTAGAAAGGGCCAAGACAGATCATGGTCATGACCTTCCCGGAGACAGTCTGAAGCATCTGATTAGAGGTATTGGTATTTTGAGGCAAACTATTTAACACATCCCTGTTCTGATACACTCTCTCGACCCAAGGAACCCAAGAGGTTAATAAGCATGACCAATTTAAGGCCTCTGAGAGCAGTGGGAAGAACTTGGTTTGACATCTCCCATGGGGCATGTTTATTTATTAATTCCAGCACCAAATTTGACTCAGCTCCAAGGATGTATGCTTGTGATTGTGCACACAATAAGAATGCAAGTTAGCAGGCACAAACGCTGCTGCTTTGAACAGAAGTCCTGAATACATTGCTTCACTTCTGAGGCTCAGTTTCTTGAGCCTATAAAAACATCCCTATGGCAGAACTCAATGCTATTATGTATGCAAAGCAACATCCCACAGGGACTTGACAGAGAGGAAGAATTGAGTCAAATACCTTTTGCATCCTAGTTATAGAAAACTAAGCATTGGTACATGGTGGTTATACTATGCATATTCTGACCCCCCAAATACAGGAAAAGATAAACACACGGTCATGGATTTTCCTATTCACAAAGTGAAAAGAAATACCAAGATCCAAGTGTGTGCACTTTATTTCATCCTAGTATCGAGTATCATCATCAAGTGTCTCAGAAGCATCGGGAACAGATGGCAGGACTTGGGTTTTGGAGGGTTAAACACTCAAAGCACAGGGCAACTTTCAAATTATTCAATAAGACACATGGAAGGACTCAAGACAGATGTGAAGGAAAAAGTAAATTGCTGAGAATGACCAGAATGACCAACAGTGATGGGCATGGGAGTCAATGGAACCCGTTCCAGATTTTATTTCTATTGGTATGTTCCCAATGTTGAGAACGGACAAGGACACGATAGGATGTCACGTGATGAGGCATGGCATGAGTGAAACAGCATGGGCCGGGAGGGCATCTCTCAGTACAGACACTTCAGATACTCACTCTTCAGCTTCTCCTCATCATTGTTACCTTTATTCTCTTCTCCTTTGGCCATCTTGCTGATGGGAAAGATGGTGGTCACATGGACACAGTCTAATATTGCCAAGAGGATCTTGGTTAATCGGAGAAGGTCAGAAAAATTGTAGAAACCAAAGTATATGAGATTCCTGGCTAGGTTCACAACCTGTTGCATTTAAAAGAAAAGGAAATCGGTATTCAATGACCTTTGTCCTCTGTTTCACTCTGATGCTGACTAGCTAATCCTGTGAGATCATGCTCTTCTCTATGGTCAGAGAAAGCATACATCTGGCTGTCTGTTTCTGGTTAAAGTTCATTTTGTTTTACATGACAGAAAACTAAGAAATGCAAGCTTACAAAACAACTCATTTGCTTTGATGACTAGTTCATAAGAAATGGGCCTCATCAATTGGATTCCTGACTTGCCAAGGGCATACCAAATCATAGCCAGTAAGAATACAGATAAGGACACTGCAGTTCTCTGGAACGTAATTCCTGGATGGATGGTGGTCCTGGAAATAGTTTAATATGAAAGCAACACGGTTTGTGTCCCTAAATGATGAGTCTACCTGACTGGCAACTGTTATATTTTTTCTGGAAAAAATCTGACCCAAATTCTTTTTGTGTTTCAAAACTAGAGCACTGCGATATAGTCACCAAGGATTAAAATATTTCCTACTTACTCCACGGAAAGATGGCCAGTGCTAACAAAACTTCAGAGACCACTCATCATGCCTTACCTCAAATGTAAGCTTATTTTTCTCCTTATCAGAGAAGGGGAATCTTTGACAGACCACATCTCTTAGATACTCCTCCACAAATTCCATCGTCTGAGCAAACCTCTCCTTAATTTCATCTTTGGAAGCCCCGCTGCTGTCATAGCTGAGAGAAGAGAGAGAGAAGGAAGGAGAATGTCAAACTCTTCCCAGCCAGACCCTTTCAGGCTGCTCAGCCTCCAAAGACAGCATCCCCCAACCTGGGCCCAACTTTACACCTCCTTCCTTAGCATGGTTGCTTACATATACAGCCACTCATCATGTTTACTGTCTGTCTGTCCCCACTAACATAGAGGTAGTTTTCTAGATTCTGCAGTAATATTCTTCAATGTTGGCACATGGTACACACTCAGATATTTCCAGAGGGAAAGGCCTAAATAAGAGACAGAAAAAACACAGCCCTGGCATCCTATTTCCTTGAGGAAGTAAACAATATTTGCTAGCTACACAATTCTATTTAAATCTGAAAGGAAAAAAAAGTTCTTTTTTTTCTATGATTTTACTAGGTCATGTATGTGGTTTATCTCCTGGTACACAAAACATTAGAGTCATCGGATTTTTAAGTGACATAAAATCTCTACAGGAAGCTGGACCCAGGCTTACTCATCAATGGCGATCTCGGAGGGAATTTCTGACCACAGACGGGCGTATTTCACAGGGGTCACCTGCTCCTGAGGATCACGGTCCACATGCATATGAAGCATGAGGCGGCAAAAGGATGCCCTGAGGTCATACGGTAGGTTCTCATCAGACATACAGCGAAGAATAAGATCAACATCCAGCTGGCCAGATATTTCATTGATAGCCAGGTATTGGCGGTCCAGACACATCCTTGCAAAGAGGTTAAGCTGATACCTGAGAAAATAACAGAAGGCTCATACTCCAGAGATCAGGCAATATGAGGGTAGTTCAACAGGGGAGTCCAGGTGGCTTCAGATTTCATAGGAGTGACATAGGTCACTCCTATGAACTTATATACCGACATCCCTAAATGATTGTTATACATCTAATTTTGGATTCTGAACTAAGGAGATGGAGGAAATGTTCAAGGCATGCCAGAGTATGGGCCAGCATCCCATAGTAACACATCGGTCTAGCTGTGTTAAAGCAATTGTGTCATCATGTGATTACATTTGCAATCTTCATCTTATAAAATAAATAGGGAAAAAAATGACTAGGCCTGAAATAATATCTTTCTACTTCACCCCTGCATTTTATACTCATCAAAGACCATGCAGGAAATATCAAAGACACTGTTCATATAAGTGTAATGAAAATTCTACAATATTAGGGCTGGAGAGATGTCAATGTCACAGTGGTTGAGAGCACTGGCTGTTCTTCCAAAGGACCCAAGTTCGATTCCCAGCACCCACATGATAGCTCACAACTGTCTATACCTCCAGTTCTAGGGGATCTGGCATCCTTACACAGACATATATGCAGGAAAAACACCAAAGCATATACAATAAAAATAAATTATTTTTTAAAAATTCGACAATATCTCTAGGGTCTTCTATCACATAAGTTGCTACTGCTAAAATGTAGATTGAACCATTCAGTTTAGGACTGCTCAGCAAAGTTAAAAACATGGGTTTCCACCAATCCGCCTCTTCATAGGAAATGGAAACTCATGTGTATACGCAAAATTAAGTGAGGATGTGCCCTTCGTGTGACGTGAAGAACTGAACTGTGGCATAATGAAAGGTCAAATGCAAAATAGATGGCATACAACAGTCAAAGTTAGAGAAACTGTCTACCTCCATTAACACAGAGATGATATTTTCATATATATATTTTAGAAACAGCATGAAGGAGAGCTTTAGAATGGTATCTGCTACAAGGTAGCATTTACATACAATTTGAGGAATAGGAAACATCCACATATACACATGGAATACAGTATAAACATACAAGGAGATGCTGCAGAGATGAGTCAGTGACTAAAGCATGTGTTGTTCCTGCAGAGGACCTAGGATCAGTGTCCAGCATATACACAGTGGCTCACAACCGGTCATAGGTTCAGTTCCAAGGAATCCAGTGCCTTTTTCTGACCTCCATAGGCAGTGAGCACACATGTGGTGATGCACATGCATACATGCAGGCAACTTGTGTACACATAAAATAAAATACCTTAAAAATTAACAAAGAACTTTGAAAAAAAAAGGCCATCATATATATAAATAGAAGAGAACAGACTAGAATACAGGAGTAAGAAAAGGCATTTTAACTGCAAAAGTCTGTTTATTTTATTAGGAAATATTAGAAGTACTAATTTTTCTTTCCTTTTCTTTTAGAGTTATTTAGTGGGCAACGTCTCTTCTTTTTCTTTTCTTTTCTTTTGCTTCAGGTGTCAAGGCTATATGGCCTTGGAGCTGGGACCAGGACTAGGGACTGAGGTGACAGCACAGGTGGACAGTGATGACATACAACAAACACAAGCAAGCAGGTGAACATCCCAGGAATGACAGTGGCTTGAGGGAGTTACGAAAACTGGAGGCTGACAGCCAGAATGCATCTGTGGCATTTGGCAAGAACTGATCGAGTACACGGAGCACCCCCACCCCCCTCATCAGAAATGCACCACACCAAAGTATCCAGTACTAGAGTTCCTCAGATTTTTGTGATCTTGCATAAACTTTACCAGTTTTATGTTGCTAATCTGAAAATATAAAATACTCCAAAATCTCAATCTTTTTGAGCATCGTGCTAGGGGTTCCAACAGTTCTGTATTTCAATTTCTGAATTATTAGGCCAGGGCTGCATGAGTTGTATTATTGCAAACCCCTGGTTTTATAATATATTTGATTCATGCACACAGATAAGTAGAATATGAAAATACAGGTACGGGTATATACAGGGAGAGATTTTCTGTAGATGTTCTAGAAGTCTGGCACTATTATCCCTAGTTTGAAGATGAGGGATTTGGAACATAAAGTCAAACTCAGCCAAAGTAAAAAGTCTAGTTAAGCATAGAGATGAAGATTTGAACAGATACAGCCTGACCCTGTAGCCTGCATGCTGCTGACTGTACTATAGACAAGCAGTGCTGTATGGGTGAGGTGTGACAGAGGCTGGAGCAAGCTCTTGTCCTTCCTATGACCTGGACACACAACCAGACAAAGATGGACTATGAGTCCATGGGACCTTCCACCAAAAGCTCATAAAACACACATATGTCTTTCTGTTGGGCAACCTTACTACAGGATACCACACCACTCCTCAGAGCAGTGCCTCAGCCTTCCTAATGCTGTGAGCCTTTAATACAGTTCCTCATGTTGTGGTGACCCCCAGTCATAAAATTATTCCATTGCTACTTCATAACTATAATTTTGCTACTGTTATAAATCATAATGCAAAGATCTCTGTGTTCTGATGATCTGAGGAGACTCCTGTGAAAAAGTTGTTTAAAATCCACACCCCACAGCATTGCCTTAGAGTGATCAACAAGAAAACCATCTGCTCCCAAGTGCCACCACTGTGGGACCCCTCAGTCCATGCCCAGCAGGCCCCCCACTCACCTGTAGTAGCTGAGGATATCACGGTCTTCCTTCTGTCCCTCTTTAGCATCTTGTGCCAATTCCCTGACACTCTTACTACGTATCTCTTTGTTGCTGTCCCTCCAGAACAGCCACACCTCTTCCTCATCCTCTCCAGCTTCCAGAGCATTCTCTCCAGTGGCAACGCCTTCAAACTCAAAACGAGAAAGAACCAACCTATATGAAAAGAAGAGATGGAACTCAGTTTTTATGAAATCCTTTGAAATCTTGCTCCTCCTCCAGCCAGAAACACACAGAAAGCCACTTTGTTCTTTATTTCTCCCAGTGTCAGAGCCATGAAGAATCTATGTGGTCTCCGTGTGCTTTAACCTGAGAATTCTTAACTAGGACAGTTTTTCTCTGCACTACATACATGGCTACATTTTTGGTTGTCACAATTGCAAAGGAAGTGCTACTAATATGGAGCAGCCACAATCCAGGGACACTTTTGCTAAACATTCTATAGTGACAGGACATTTGCCACCACAGCTTCATCTAGCCCCAAATGTCAGAATGCCAAGGTTGAGGCACCTTGCCTTAATGCAAGTTCCCAAGTTAAGTTACAAACTAAGAAAAAAAAAAAAACTGCACCACTAGCTTACACCTTACCTCTTTTTAATACTGCCTACACTGCTGCAGTATAGTCACCAGGAAAAATGCTCCTTTGCTAAAAGTGAATTGCTACTATTACCAAAGCAGTAATAATAGTATGACAATTATCAACAATAATTATTGTCACTACTTTACTGAGGACCAATAGGCATTACTTAAACATTTTTATTACATTTTATTTGATGTGTGCTACAGTGGATGTGTAGAAGTTAGAGGACAACTTGCTGGAATCATTTCTCTACTATCATCATATGGTTCCAGGTTATCAGGCTTAGCAACAGCTGCCTACACTCTCTGAGCCATCTTGCCAGTGCATCATAACTTTTGAACAATGATAATATACAACTCTTCCCAATACTAATTAATATTAACAATGGATATTTGTTATAGTCTTCATTTTTTAATGAATTATAGAAATTCTAAGGCTCATCATCTCTTAATGATGTGTGTCAAATGCTCCCTGGTGGGTTTATACAATTTTACAGTATACAGAGTAAGTGACACAGTATATTTTAAAGCATACAGAGCAAGTGTCCTTCTGCACCAAAGATCACAACAAAAGCAAGCTAAAATATTCTAAACAAGGTCTATGAAACGAAGATGAACTGCTACCAACCAACATTAGACCAACTCTGAAGAGATGAAGGAGTTAGGTTTACTCCCCATAAGCACACACATCCATTTAACATTTAATCCTTGCCTTTAGTGTAGGTTTGTCCCCATGAGCATACACACCCATTTAACATCTGATCCTTATCTTTATGTCCCTAGATGGTACTCACTTGGTCTCAATCAGGATGTCAGCATTGGTGGGATTCAGCACAGCTTTACAAATGAGCTCCTGGGTCACAGGGATCGACTTGTTCATGGACACACAGAGGTCAGAAAGGTAATCCAAGAACCTAACGAGAAAGAAAGCAGGATGTTGAAAGAGAGCAAGCAGAGGGAGCCGGAGCCTTCCTCACATAGACAAGTCCTACATTCCCTTCTCAAGAGAAGTCAGGCATATTGTAGACTTTGATGACAGTGACACAAGAAATCTAGATATGGCAGGTGAAAGAAAAGGAAGAAAAAAACAATCAAACAGAAGAGAAAAATGACTAAGGTTAATGAAAGGGTGACAGGACCAACATGATGAGGAGGAGCAGGACAAGAAGGAAGTTCTCATCAGGAAGAGACAGTGAAGGCCCTGGGACCAGAGGAGCCAGGGCTGGTGGATGCCTGGAAGCCTGGGGTGGCAGGCTGGCTTTGACACTAACTGGCTGTATTCGGCTACAGAATATCACTTGGAGACATTACTTAACCTGGCTGCGTGCTGGTTTCCTAATCTAGGAGAAAAGACATAGTAATACATTTCTAAGGGTTTTCCTGGGGACTAAAGAAGAAGATTCATGAAGATGGGCTTCTGGAGATGCCAGGTATAAGTGACCATGGTCATTTTTACAGCAGCACTATGAGCTCTGCAGTGTGACAGATGCCACTGTGCTGTGAACTGCTTTCCATGACCCCTGAAATCTCAGCGAGAAGAAAGAAGGAAGAGACGGGGAAGAGGCAAAAGGAATGGGGGCAGATCTGTGTGTATAAGAGGGTCGGGAGAACTCACTTAAATATAATAAACCATTCATGAGACAACTAGCCCTATCAAAGGACAAGGGGAAAACATGGGCAGGAATTCTGAGAGCCACAAGGCCTAAAAAGTAGAGTGACCAAAAACAAAGGTCGTTTTCTGTGTGTCAAGCGACTGGCAATTCACAGGTATCTATAGCTGCTCATTTAACAAATAAAGGAACTGGGGTAGGGGGGTGGGAAGGAAAGGCGGACAGCTGGAAAGCATGAAGATGGGGCTGCAGCAAGTGGTTCCAACACCACATCCTTACCAGAAGGTGGTGGTGCACACCTTTAATCCCAGCATCCAGGAGGCAGAGGCAGGCGGATCTCTGTGAGTTTGAGGCCAGCCTGGTCTACAGAGTGAGTTCCAGGATAGCCAGAACTACAGAAACTCTGTCTCAAAACACAGCAACAGCAAAGTTGGGGGAAAGGAAAGTTGAGCAGCTGGTGAACACTAAAGATGGAAGCTGCAGCGAGTGGTTCTAATACCACATTCTCGCCAGGACTCATCAAAGGACACTGGAAACTGACTGCTGCCAGTTCCCAGGACAGCAAGCCTAGCACACAACACCAAGGGCAGCTACTGTCCCACATCTTAGATGCACAGACGCCTCCTCTCCTCTGGTGCCTCACCTGGGCTCCCTGTTCTTCCGAACCAGGCTGACGAATGTGTCTATCTCCGCCGCGGTGATGTGCTTTTCCAGGAGTTTTCGGTTATTGTGGAGCAGGGCAGTGATGGTGTCTTCAGCCAGCACATCATAGCCAATCTGCTTCTGCATGAAGCCAAACTGCTTGGCTATGTACTCCTTTTAGGGAAAGAAATACAAGGCAACGGGAGGGAGAAAAAGACAGTACGATTAAGTTAAATATTAGAAAAACTTGCAGCGGGCTGGAGAGATGGCTCAGATGTTAAGAGCACTGGCTGCTCTTGCAGAGGTTCTGACTGCAATTCTCAGCAACCACCTGGTGGCTCACAACCATCTCTAGTGGGATCTGATGCCCTCATCTGGCATAAAGGCAAACATGTAGATACAGCACTCATACATAAAATGAATACATACATCTCAAACAAAGTTTAATAAAAAAGTAAAAAAAAAAAAAAACTAGCAGTAGTATATGAGAAGTATGATTCAACATGCAAAGGATTCTGGGCATCTTTCTTCAACATCTACCCCAGGGCAATGATAACACAGCCCTTTTCAGCCTTTACTAAACCTATCATACAATATCAGCAAGGAAAAAAACTTAGAGTCTACATGTGATTATTTTCAATGTACAACATCAGTTTTAATTTGCTGATTCTTTTTTTTTTTTTTCTTTTGGAGACAGGGTGTCTCTGTGGCTTTGGCTGTCCTGGCACTAGCTCTTGTAGACCAGGCTGGTCTTGAACTCAGATATCCACCTGCCTCTGCCTCCCGAGTGCTGGGATTAAAGGTGTGTGCCACCACTGCCTGACTTGATTCAATCTCAAAATAGGGTCAGAAGCAGTTGCAAAGTTCTGAATTTATTGCTAATTCAGTGTAACTTAACCGTCCCCATTCCTCTGGGTCTGTTGCTGAATACAGACAACACCTATCTGTATATCTGGAATGTCAGCCCACAGAGTTTTCTTTTTCTTGAGTTAAAAAAAAATTATTTTCAAACTTACTTTTTTACTTATATGAGTATTTTGTCATTATGTATGTTAAGTTCACCACATACGTACAGTGCCCACAGCTACCAGAAAAAGGCATCGGATGCCTAGATCTGGAGGTATAGGTTATTGTAAGCTGATGTCAGGGTGTTAAGGATGGCACTCAGGGTCCTCAGTTGCCAAAGCTGTTAGCCACTGAGTCATCTCCCCAGCCTCCTAAAAATGCATTTTTTAAAAACATCAATAGGTTTGTGGCACATTTTAACCTCAGCACTTGGGAGGCAGAGAAAGACTTAAAAAAAACTATCTGCAGCCTGCTAACATGGTTATGAGTGTAAGCACAGCCTGGTCTACATAGAGAGTTCCAGGCAAACCAGGAACACATTGTGAGATCCCATCTAAAAAAGAAAATAAAGAAAAATGAAGCCAGTAGGTAGAAGAGAGTCAGTATCAAGGATAATCAATCATATTCACAAATGGATCTGTCTTGGCTTCCCTCTTTACAAATCAAACATCATATTCCACAGCAATGTCTGCAGAACCAGGGGAGCACCTTCTGAACGGTAGTTCGTTTCTATTTAAAGAGATTTCCCTGGTAGAATTCTTGCCCTCCTCCCTCTGCATACTTCCCACCTCCAAACACAGACACAGACATAGACACTGGCACAGACACAAGTGCATATGTACACACACACACACACACACACACACACACACACACACACCTTTCTAAGTTCTATCCAAGAAAGACTGTTTGCTTGCTTAAAATTCAAACAGTCCTTCAAACTGGCTGTAAATTATTCCCCTAAGTCCTAAATCCAGGAGCTACTCAGGTATAACACAGCAGACACAGGATGCATGTTTGAGAGTTCACCAGCCTTCAGAGATACAGCTCTGCCAACTGGCACAGGGTCCATAAGCAAATATATCCAATCTAGCAGCAGCAGCAGTAGCAGCAACAAGAAGGACCAGTTTGGCTTCATTTTGTACAAGTGATATGTCATGGCCCACACTACATCTCTGATGTCCCTTTACCTAAAGAATGCAGACAGAGGCAGGCTAATGTCTTCAGACCTATCTGATATGAATATGATGGAGGTAGACTTAAAAAAACTATCTGCAGCCTGCTAACATGGTTATGTTTCTAAAGCATTAAAAACATTAATATTATTTTCATGATAATGAAAACCTTTAACTACAAAGGAAGTTTAAATTTAAAGAAAAGGCACAGTGGCAAACCTTAAGAAACAAGTTCATACCCCAAGGAACAGTTTGCACACCCTCAATGCTACATATGGCGCTATTTGTCCCGTCTTAGCACTATTGACATAAGCTAAATCACTCTTTGTTAAGGAGGGTTGCCCTAGGTACTGCTGGGTATTTCCCAGTATCCCTGTTTGTACTCATTAGATATCATGAGCGCTCCCAATATGTAACATCCAGAAGGGTCTCCAGACACTCAAATGTTCTTTATGGGACAGAAATACTGCTGGTTGAGAATCAATGATCCATCAACACATCTCTCAGTGTCTTTAGAGTTGCCATGCTGTTTTGTATACCATTAACTTTACAGGAGGAGTGTGTATCATATTTGTGTTTGTGTGTGCGTGTGCGTGTGCGTGTGCGTGTGCGTGTGCGTGTGCGTGTGTGTGTGTGTGTGCGCGCACCTGCGTGCACACGTGCACGTATGCATGCATGCAAACATGTGAGAGAAAATCCTCTATGGACAAAATGCAAATCTATGTATAATATAGACATAGACTTACAGTCACTTTGTTAGAACATCAGCACAAATGATTTAGAATCACAGGCAAGAAAAAGTAACCTTCAATGGTCATGCAAGGAGGGCAGGAGGAAAACAATCTATTTCTTAAACATGGAATCATTTCATGCCTAAGCCTTATGGAAACACAGCATGAAAACATATGTAGGGGGCTGAAGAGATGGCTCAGTGGTTAAGAGCACTAACTGCTCTTCCACAAAAGACCTGGGTTTAATTCCCAACACCCACATGGCAGCCCACAACTGTTTGTAATTCCAGTTCCAGGGGACCTGACACCTATGGCAAAACATCAATGTGCAGAAAATAAATAAATAAATAAATAAATAAATAAATAAATAAATAAGTAAGTAAATAAATAAGCTGGGCAGTGGTGGCACATGTCTTTAATTCCAGCATTGGGGAAGCAAAGGCAGGTGGATCTCTGTGAGTTCAAGCCCCGCCTGGTCTACAAAGCTACACAATGAAACCCTGTCTCGAAAAACCAAATACATAAATTAATTAATTTAAAAAATGAAAACATATGTAGAGCTAGGGAAATGGTTCAGAGGGGTGGAGGACTTCTTGCCGAAGCATGAGAACCTAATAAAAATGTCCAGCACCCACACAAAATGCCATACATGGCCATGGACACTTGGAACTCCAGCTCTGAACTGGGGGGAGACAGAAGTTCACTAGAGCTTGCTAACCAGCTGCCAGCACAGATCCAGATCCAGTGAGAGATTCTATCTCAGAGGAAGAAAGAAGAGAGTGATGGAGCAAAACACCTTATGCCCTCCTCTGACTTCTGCCGGCATGGGTGTGCACACTCACACACCTGCTCATATTCTACATACACATAGAATATGTACACATATACTCCCACATACATGTACTGTACACGTAACACCAAGCTCGGAAATATAAATTTTACTGAAATGTGTGCACAAAAGGAATTTCTCAGTATCTTTTACATTTCTTGTTTGTAAAATTGATACCTAAAAATTACACACATTTACAAGGAACTGTGTGATGTTTCTCTAGGAACCTTCTCAAGGATTCTGTGACTCATGTTCCTCCCAGACTTGTCAACCATCCGTTTCATGACAAAAATTCAACAGTGGACTATTCTCCACCCATAAAATACAAAGGTACATATCACTTAAAACTCATGAGTAAACATGAACTTCAGGGAAGAACCCAACAGTCACTTCTAGGCATCTTAATGCCCACCTGGTTCTTCCTGTAGTCTTGCTGTGAGTGTCTCAGGACCCTGTAGCAGAGTCGGCAAATGTGTCTGAAAGGCGCATGGCGCTGGTCCCCCAGCTCCTCCAGCCGAAGCATCGGGCCATCCCCACAGTCTGTGAAAGGGGCCTGCAACAACTTGAAAATCTGTTTGTAAAAAAAAAAAAAAAGAGTGGGATGCCATCAGTGTTTGTTTTAAACTCTAACTCTCCCCCTCCAGAAAGGCACACACCTATAGGAGTAGTGTGAGATTCTACGTGTTGTAGAATAGTATTTTAAGGTATGTTACTTTTGTTTATGCTCTGGAACATTTGTTTAATGATGCAAAGATATGCTTGATTAAATAAAATTCAACTGTGGTCAGTAGGCTGGGTCAGCAACTAAACTAGTTGACAGGAAGTTGTAGGGAGGAGCCAGGTGGAGAAGGGTTTATAAGAGAGAGCGAAAAAGCATGAGGACTTCTTGGGAGACACAAAGAGGTGAGCTAGGTGAGCTGCTTGCTATTCAGCCTCTCTGGGAAGCAGGATTCTACCTCAACCTTTGAATCTTGAGTTCTTTAAGTGGTGGGACAGAGATTTAAATATGTTTCCTTAGTAGCTTTGAAAGAACTCTTGCGGCCTAGTTGCTGCTGGTCGTGGCAGAGCTGCAGTTGATGAATAGCATAGGCATAGCTTAAAGGAACGGAACAATTAAAGAAAAATAATACATATGGAAAGGTTTCTCTACTCAAACTCATCAAGAGACTTGAAACCCCATCTGTCAATCAGTTGGGCTGGGCTTCCACACATTCAGCCCCCCTAGACCTCATCAGTCCTCACATACACGGTGGAGCATCAATTGGCAGAGTACAGAGAGGGGATTTTTGGGTGAAATGATACACCTTTATGACTTCTGCCAGAGAGAAAATCAAAACAGATTAGCATTGATCCAGGCACTAAAATTGAAGTTGTGTGGACTTGCTAAGTCAGGTTTCACAAACATCCACAGTCCGACTTTGGAACTCAGCTGTCTGGGCCTGCCTATGCAGGTACAGGCTGACCTTAAACACTGAGCTGGCCTGCCACCCCTAGAAGGAGATTCAATAGGTTTCATAACAGTTTGGAAACTATCTTCCTGGTTTCATTAGGCTAGCCAACCCTTTTCCTGTAAGACAGTGTGACCTTGGCCACACCAAGCGCAAGTATTCAGGAACAGGATGCAATTAGCCAACCTGATTGTGGATTAGACTGTAAAAACAGCCATCATCTCATAAAACTTTAGAATACTTTCCAAAGGCAGCTGGATTTGGTGCCTCTTAGAATACAATCCTAGTAAGACCAAAATGAATGTAATTCTTTGCTATCAACTAGATTGATTTGATCTCAGGGAACACTGACTAAGAGCGCAGATCCTGGCCAAAGAAAACTTGTTCTCTCACCAGGAAAACACAAAGTGCAGTATCTATAGTACTTAAGTACTGTGAGGATTAAGACAGACAGCAACTGTAAACCTCAGAAGTACAGTGCCCTATAGAATTGACCAACACAGTTTTAACCCCTCATGGGATGGCTATTGTGGGAATGAACAAGGACAGTAAGCTAGAATTCTAATCTAGGATTCACACATGAAACATCTGGATGTAATTTATTGTTGGACTTCCCGCCTTGTTGAAATGTGAATTTGTCTATCACAGCCCAAGAGGAAGAAGGATTTCCTCATGCCGAATTCTCAAGGAGAACTAGGAGGCTTTATAACTAGTCTCTTCGTTTTGGTCACCAGCAAGTTCCAAGGAAACAGAAAGCAATTCTCTGGGAAGCTTTGAAGAAGTACACTGTGTATCATCTAGTGTGCTTCCTGTACCTGGCTTTGTCGTGCTCCTCCCTCGAATTTGTCTGTCTATTAAATACCATCAATACTCAGGATTTTAAAGGGCCCTAGAAGTTCATGGTAAACGCTTGGTCCTTGATGCAACCCTGTTGATAGTTGAGTCCTTTGGGAGGTGACTGGGTCATGCAGGCTCTGATCTGCTTGGGTGGACCTAGCCATCGGCAGACTCACAGCTGAATGGGTTTCATAAAAGAGGACTGATCACAGAGCAGGTTCTTCTCTGCTTCTTCCATGCAGAGGTGAGCAGCTTTGCCCCAGCCCATTTTCCACCATCGTGTACTACACCAGAGGCCAAGAGTGACGGGGTTAGTGACCATGGACTGAACGAAACTCCTGCAACTGGGAGCCACAACAGACCTTTTCTCTACAAGATTATTTATAGGTATTTTGTCACAATGACAGAAAGGTGACTCAGAACAAACTGTCATCTAGATACTTCTGCAAACTGCTACTCGGTGTTTATGGAAATATTTAGAAATGATCACTACAGCTCCCCATAAGTGTTAATATAGGCCTTCTGGGTTTGTCATATACTGCAAATTCTCTAAACATATGAAGTAACCATAAGGAACTATGGCACATTATATTATTTTTGAAGAACATAAAGGTGTCACCTGAACACTTCTTATGGCACCTAATAGGTGAACACTCACATGGTTCCCAACAACTGGACTGGGGAATTGAGCCATGAGAACACATGGAGAGCCTTACATATCTGAAAAGGCTGCAAGCTACATAAACTGCAGTCTGAACAAGGCAAAATATTATCATAATTAAAAGAGGAGTTGTTGTAAAGAGTAATGAAAGAACAACGGATGAATTGGTGGAGCAGAAAATTTAGGGGGCAATGAAAATGTTCTATAGATTTTTAGGGCAATAATACCATGATAAACCAAATCATATACAACATCAAGAGAGGACCACAAACTATGGACCTTGAGTAATAGTGATGTATCAATCCATGTTCATTGAGTGTGATAAATGATCCATTCTGCTGCAGGGCATTGACACTGTGACAGAGGATACAGGAGGGCACTCTCTTGCCACTTAACTTTGCTATAGACTTAAAACTGCTCTAAGAAATCAGTACTTTTAAAACAAACAATAATCCATACTCTACATCTTCTGGGTTAGAGTCATCATGGCTCTTTGTATGAGCAGAGATCCCGCAGGCTTCTCACAAAGTTAACCCCGAAGTATACCAAGGCTCACTGACCTGTTTGAGAATATTCTGTTCCCTCATCAGCTTCTGCCGCTCTCTGTTGGGCTTAGAGAAGACTACTTCCAGCACATCTTGGCCAGAGTTCGTTCCACCCGTGACAAAGTAGACCAAGTCTTCCAGCAGCTTGGTGACAGACCTTAGGAGAGCAGAGCTTGCTAAAGAAAGTGTTCAAACTTCAACAGGCTAAAGGCGTTGCCTGCAAGTTCAGGCTTTATGAACAAGGTAAAGAGAAAAGGACTCAGGTTTTCTAGCTCCCTTGAAACCACAACTGAGGCTGACTGATCTGCATAACAGGACTCAAACAAAACAAAACACAGGTAAATAGAAAAGGATCTGTTTCTAGAAATCATAAATTGAAGCTGCCCATGAAAGCTCGGACCTGCCCGTCTCACACACAGCTCTTCAGAGACCTGATCTTCTTGCTCCCCAAGAGCTTTTGTAAGTCTAGCCACAGAGCAGGACTGCTGTGTCAGTACCTGCAGGAGGCCCTCACCTTCTTTCGTTCTGGGTGATGGTACCCTTTTCCAACTTCCCAGCAATGGAGCCCAGAACCTTGCTGGCATCATTGGCAAAGTCCAGGTCCCGAACCTCAGCAGGAGAAACAGGAACTATGGCGAATGCCTCCTTGTCCTCCTTCAGAGGAGAGGTACCAATCTGAAAGTCAAGGGAGTTGTTGCAGGACAATCTTGATTGGGAAAGTAAGATGTTAAATCAAACGCTTTGTTTACAGGATATTGGGCAATCCAAAGAACTTGGGAGTTCTCTTGGCATTAGTATCAAGCAGACACAGAAAACTTCTACAAGGATGAATTAGTTTTGTGGGGACTGGTGAGGTAGTAAGGGGGGCTATTATATTTTTAAACATTTTTTATACATCTGTATCATGTATATTCATTGTGCACAGTACTAAGTACTACTGAGTTATAAAGAGCTATTTCTGTGTGAATATACACTGTGTGGTAAGAAAGGAAAAGAGCAGAAGGAAATCTAAGGGTGAATACATGCAATAGGAACAACTGTAATTTTATAGCTTCTTTTATCACAGGGAGGATGTAAGATTCTTATAATAATTAACAGTTTATTAATAGAGAAAAGGTAACTATGGAAAACGGCAATTACTGACTCTATAGAACATAGAGACTATATTCTTTTAATTTTTCTATGAAGCTGAACACACCCATAGGAGAAAAAAATTATAGAAAGAAAAATCCCATGTGTATTTATGCTATCTAAGCTTAGTGACTGGTGGAGAACAGGGGTGATGGTAAACAGGGGTAGGCAAATTTCTTTTAGATACACAAAGAATGCATACTCATTATATATGCTGAGGGAGAAAAAATACTAAAGATGGAGGGGGAATCAGCCAGACATCAATGTATCTCAAGGCACAAACATTCCTGTAGCTAAAATCATGTTAGACATGAAATGAAGAGAATTGCTCAACAGAAATGGAAAAAAATGAAAGGTCTGTTTCATTTTCAAAGCCAGCCCTGAGCCTGCTTCACCCAGATCCCTTGAAATAATTTTTTTCATGACAAGTTTGGTCATGACTGTACTCTTACCAAAGCTAGAAGAAACCCAACAAAGTTCCCTATCTCCCCACCTGTTGTCAAAGGAGCCCTTTTATCAGAGTAGGAGACTAAAAGGAGCCAGCCAAGTTCTGGACTTACCTTCAGCATCACAGGTTTTTCTTCCTCCTTGTCAATGGGAATGTTTGTGCTGTGAACCCAGGTATTTGTACACAGATGTCTGAGACGAACATAGGAGTTCCTAAAGGGAAGCAATGAAAAATCTCAGACAGAGGGACACTTGCGTTGCTCTACAGCCACTGGTCATGATAACGTGGTCTTCATGAACGAAGCTAAAAGGAAAACAGTAGCCTGAAGTGACAAAGGGATAAAACACAGACTTTAAAAAGTTACTGATCTATACACACAACGAATGCCTACAAATCAATAAGTAACATGAATAAGGAAAATGGGACAAAGACACAGGCAATACTTTAATGATAAAATATAAATTGTGGATAAACATTCAACTTAGTATATAATTAATACAAAATGAACTGCTATTTTTGTTCTATCACATTTCCAAGATGCCAAGTCTGAGAAAAGCTAGCACTTAGAAGAGCGCAGGGAAATGAATTCTCCTAAGCTTTTATGGTAGGTATTTTGTTTTAGTGACAGGATTGCTCACAGGCCTTGACATTCTAGACACAAGCTACACCACTGAGCTGCCCTCTGGGCCCCTGTACACTGCTCGCTAGAATGTAATAGCCAAAATTCTAGAAAGGAGTCTGAAAGTTTGGACAACACGATAAATAAAACACAAACACATAAACATAAATATCTTCTTTTATTTACAAATTCCATTTTTTTTATTTTTCCAGAAGAAAAACAGCCCAGGTGCAACAATTGTTACAAAGATGTTCAGTCAAGTGTTATTTATAAGACTAAAAACTATACCATCTAATGTCCATAAAAATCTCGTCCCCTACAGTGTATGTAATGGCAGTTTCTTAAAATGATAACAGATGGTAATCACTTACTTGAAAACATATCCACAATACATAATTCCACTAAGATCATTCAAAGTAGCTCACAGTTCCATGTATGACAAATCACATGTTACAGTTGTGCCCAGAAACCTGTTTAGAATCTATATGAACCCAGGTTCTTAAGTGCAGCTGATTCCCACTTAATAGTTGAATTATATATAGTTGCCACTTGTTTATATTTTTTGCTATGTGATTTAAAAATCATTTTATGGTTATTTCTGTCTATGATGAACATGCATCGTGTTTAAGCCATTTTTCAACTCAACTTTACTTCTGAAAACAATGGAAGGAGTTTCACCCTTCAAGAACTTGCAGTCTCTTTAGTGAGACAACATAAGAGCACACCAAGCAAGCAGAAAGAACAGGAAATGGGTACTAAAAAGCACAGTTAGGAGATGGTTGAGGAGGGCTCAGAAACATGAAAGCATTCTCTTACAGAAAACTGAGATGACTCTGAACTGCAACTTTAGACACTGGTAGACTAGGGGCAGACCAGGTAAAGTAGAAGTCATTCAAAGTAAGAGTAATTTAGGACCAAGGTATGCCACATTCATGGAAGAGACCAAGTCAGACATGCACTTTCAGTAGACCTTGGTTTCCTTTGATGTAACTGTCCTAAATATTTCAAGGCAAGAAGAGGGAAACCCTAGTGTTATTTACTTTGACTAGCATGAATTATACAATATGGACAGGATATTAAACAGGGGAATTTGTAGTTTTTTCATTCTGAGTGAGTTTGGTTCGTTTCTGTATTTTCTGAGTGTAACCAAAGCTTGGAGCATAGTTTTAGTTGGATAATTATATTCCATAGAGTTCTACAACAAATGTTATCAAAGGTACATAGGACATTCCATCAATTCCTCTGATGTACCATTCCTCATCCTTAACTCAAAAGTCATGTTATTGGGACAACTACACAAGAGTCATACAAGTAGATGTCCTGACAATGCTCTTTAAAATATCTAATTCATGCATACTGCAACTTTATTATCTGGTTTAAGATATCTAGGATTGGTCGTTAGCCCTCTTATTTGGTTCTGAAGTACTCTTTAGCCACTGACTATCATAAAAATGCATTTGCTGATACTACTTGTGCACAAGTCTAACTTTATACAATGCAATCTGTAAGAAAAATGCAGCACAATTTTAAAATAACTTATAGGCTAGCAAACATAGCTATGAGTGCCATTTTAATGCTTTTGTGCTGTTTTATTTGGTTCTCATGTGTTTCTCCAACTGCCCTACTCCACAGCAGAGTTTTAATATGCAGAGAAAGGAATGTGTTACTCCTAAGGTCACTTAGTTTCCACATCATCAATAGATAAGAGGCCCTATTCTCTTCTGGCTCTGAGGATGGCAGCCAAGGATGAGAATGAAGAAAAAATGTTAAGGCGAAGATCCAGCAAGATCATAAATGAATGCCTTGGTAGACCATGACAAAGCTATTATCCCACAAGGCTGAATGTAAGTCCTCGTCTCTTTTTTCTAAGCTTAGAATCAGTCTTAGTACACCTGCTCACAGAGAAAGTTGGCCAACACGAAGTAGCAACGAACACACAGAACCCAGAGGAGGGGCCTCAACCTGCCAACACCACTTAGCTAGCTGACTAGAAACTTAAACTTTCCATCTCCTTGGGATTATGGGGATTTCCAAGCCACTGGGGAATACAGGCCAATGAGTTCCAGGTTCCCTCTTTGCCAAGGAATGTAACAAAAGATTCTCATGGACAGTGCGATTTTTTTAAATCACATCTTTCCTTCTTCACTAGCCCGGCAATCGCTGAGCACAGGCTATAAATGTTACTCCCTTGTTTTCGGACATCGTAAGAAAAATTCACTAACATTCAGAACTGAGAAAATGGAAAACTATTTAAGCTGTAATGTTTCTGAGTTCTGCAGACCAGCACCTATTTATATAACAGATAGTCGATGAGACAGGAAGCTTTTAAAGTACAATATATCCTACCTCAAAATACACTTTAAAAGATTTCAAAATGAATCAAAAATCTAAGTGTAAATAATGAAAATAAATAACACCTTGAAGAAAATATCACTATAAAATTTTGTGATCATGTTTTTTTAGGTAAGAAGCCAAAAGCAGGATCAACTAAATTGAACCTGTTCAGGACACCATCAAAGACTGGAAAAATAACATACAAGAAGATATTTGCATATCATGGATCAGATGTTTGTATCTAGAAAACACATAACTCAATAATAAAAGGATGTGTAACTAAGACAAGTGACGAAGGATGTGAGAAGAAACACCTGTAAGTATAATTAACATGGTTGACCATCAGAGAAATGTAAACCCAAACCTCAATGAGATATCACTTCACACTAATTAGGATGACTCAAAAAATAATAGTGACAAATATTGGTGAGAACTGGAATCCTCACATACTTGCTTTATGGGAACAGAAGTGTTGTATCTACTTTGATAGACAACCTGTCAGCTCCTCAAAGGTTAAACACAAGATTACCCTACAATGCAACAACTGGCTTCCAGATTTGGACTCAAGAGGAATATGAGATCACAAAATGTTTGTGCAAGCAAACATTCACGAAGATATCACCCATATACAGACCAGGGCACAAACAACTAAATAGACACCAGGCACTAAAAGGGGAACTAAAATATAAAGTATGTGTCACCCATAAAATAATTAGACATAAAATGAGGTAGATGCAGCAAAGGGGAGCGCTTATACGTTGTTGGTTGGAGTATAAGCTAGTGTATCCATGTTGGAATCAATCTGGAGGTTTCTCAAAAAGCAAGAGATAGAACTACCATATGATCAGCAGTACTCTTCCTGGACGTATGGCTTTATTTGCTATAGAGCAGTGGTTCTCAACCTGTGGGTCACAACCCCTCTGGGGGTCACATATCAGATATTTACACTATTATCTACCACGGTAGCAAAATTCCAGTTATGAAGTAGCAGCAAAATAATTTTATGGTTGACTGCTTTATTGACAATAGCTAGGAAATGGGACTCGACTTAGATGTCCATCAACACATGAGTAGATGAGAAAAATGTGGCACGTGTATCTGCAAAGACAAATGGTATCTGCCAGGAAATGGATGGAACTGTAAAAATTATACTAAGTGAGGTAACCCAGACCCGGAAAGCGAAACACCTCATGTTCTCTCCCATAGGCAGATCCTGGCTTTAAAGCTTTTGTTTTGTGTTTAATGTGGAGCACAGGGGAAGGCAGGAAACTAGAAAGATGCCTTTTTGGAGGGGGGAAGAGGATGCTAAGGAAGAAGGCAGACTACAGGTGAAACGGAAGTGGTGAAGGGGAAGGCTTAAGTGGGGGTGGGGTGGAGTAGGGGGCACATCAGCATATTCAAAAGACTGGGGAGAAGGGGAGGGGAGGGCTAACCCAAGGAAAGAGACTATGAAACAGTACATGAAAGCCTACTTCAAAACAATGCAACTTAAAAAAAAAAAGTAAGTATACTGATGGCAGAACACTGTGAAATGAAAAAAGGTGGAGATTAACAATGAAAAGACTGAATGGATGCCCCTCAGCCAAAGAATGAGTAAAGAAAATGTACATTTACACAATGGTTAAAACAACAACAACAACAACAACAAAAAACAATGACATCTTGAAATTTGCAGGCAAATGGATGGAACTAAAGAACGCCACCCTGAGTCAGGTAACCCAGACCTAGAAGGACAAATATAATATGTATTCACTCATAAGTGGATATTAGACGTAAGGCAAAGGATAACCAGCCTACAAGCCACAACCCCAGAGAATTTAGGTAACAAAGAGGACCTTAACAAAGACATACATGGATCTATCTGCCTAGGAAGGGGAAAAAGAGAAGATCTCCTGAGTAAATTGGGAGCATGGGGGGTAAGGAGAGAGGGTGGACGGGGAGAGGGGAGGAGGAAAAGGGAGTGGGGGAAATGTATAATTCAATTAAAAAAAAAAGAATGAATGGGAAGAGAAAAGGGAGGGAGATGGGAGGTGAGGAAGGGGTAGTAGTGGGTAATAACCAAAACTCAAGATCTATGAAAAAGCCTTATGGAAGCTTGCCCATTAGTAAGCTCATTTTAAAATCCAACTACAAACTACAGCTTGAACAGAATTACCCTGCATGAGAGGACAATGTTGCTTCCAGGAGACTTGGGCTATGAAATGAATACTGCACCACAAGGCATGGGATAACTCCCTGTGAGTTACTGGTAAGGACAAGTCCCAGTGCTCTCTGAAGTAACACAAGTCATTGCCATTGCCTGTGGATACCCATGATAACCACATGGCAAGAGCCTATTGCTAAAGATACTATATGATTTGGCTTCGGGACACAGGGAAATCAATCTCAAAACTACCAGGAGACATTCTCCCTGCTGGCCACTTTCACGGTGACAGAAGGTACTTAATGTATAGGCTGCTAAGGGAGGAAAAAAGGTCTTACCTACTGCTGGACCATCACGTTGCAGTACCAACCTGCCAGCCATGACGTGCCTACTTGTGCAAAAGTGGCCCAATTTTTATGAGGCAATTAACCACCTTCAGATTGGATTTGAGGTTGGCTCCACAGAAAGAGATTTCATGCCTTGTTCTATAACCCAGGTCAAAAGCTCATGCATGGCAAGGGATGTCATGGGCCTCGAGGCAAAATCTGCTATTATTCTGCTAAATGGTCATGTGGTCAATGCACTTTCTAAATATTCATGCTTATATCTATAAACCTACAGAAGATGAAGGCTGCTGTCGACTGTGATCAGAGAAACTTCTTTTTGTGGTGGACAGAAGTCAATGGAGGAAGACATAATCGGTCAGAATGTTGAGAATAAGAGCCTGAATGTTCAAACCTGAATGGGGATCTGTGATTATTCCAGCACTGCCAGGGCTCAGGGAACATCACGGAAGAGGAAGCAGAAAAAAAAAGTATAAGAGCTAGAGAATAGGTCTACAAGTCTGCTGTGAAATGCAGACTTGTAGACATGACATGTTCATTACATGCATGAACTAATGGCATCTGTGGTTACCTATACAAGATTAATTTTGAAGGTAACTAAGTAACAGGTTTTAGATTTAGAAGAAAGCTGTGCACACCCGTGGAGTTTTCCAGATTAGCATCTCAAGACTCCCTCAGATTCTCAAGGAGTGAACAAACTAGTGGAATTTAGTAACTAGGAAATCTGACTGAACAGCAAAGGGAGACCTTCTCACCTTGTAAGGTTCTGGTCTCTATGGGCACTGCCTTATACTTCTCCCTCTTTGAAGGGACAGAAATAGCAATGAGCCTAAGTCAAGGATGCTGATTTTGACAGCAATCACACAAGGGGTGATGTTCTAGTTTCTTAGCTCTCCTTAGGCTGAACAGGAAAGTGACAAGGCAGACACGATGGAATACAAAGGTATACTCAATGAGGGGCCTCCTGAAAGCCCAATAAATGCCAGTGAGACATCTGCCACCAAATGCAAAGCTGAAGAGAGAGGAGTAATGTCTCCACACTCAGCCATTTACCAATGTGGGTTCTGCTACAGGACTCTAACTTGTGATACTTTGCTTAAACTCTCTAAGTCCCAATGTCTTTCTATAAAAGGGTGGATAATACCTACCTCACGGGACTTCAAATATGGTAAGGTTATAAGCTATGTAGGATGAGTCTGGTATCTACTTAGCACTATGATTCTTATGTAGTTGGAAATCAGTGGCTGGTATATTCATAAGTAGTATTGTTTGCTGACTTTGTGAAGAACAGATTTTTGACAAGGTGTGTTGGTGCACTCTTTTAATCCCAGTAGTTGGGAGGCAGAGACAGGAAGATCTATGTGAGTTCCAGGCCAGCTAGGAAAACATAGTGGAACCCTGCTTCAAAATAAATAAGTAAACAACAGACAGACAGACAGATGCCTTTGGGGCCAGTGAGATGGATCAATGCATAAATCACATAGAGCCCAAGAACAGCCCCCTGAAAGCGGGGGTTGGGGGGTGGGAGTGGGGGAACCATACCTCATGTGGTGGCTTACAAGTGTCTGTAAATTCTATGGGCACCAGGCATGCACATGATACACAGACATACATGCAGTAAAAAAATCTATACCCATAAAATTAAAATAAATTAACTCTAAAAAATTTTAAGAGAAAAAGAATGGCATCTGAGTTTGATCCCTGCACCTTCAGAAAGGCTGTCCTCTGATCACCTTACTCACACCGTGCAGGCACACATACACAATACTAAAAATGGTTTAAAATTTGGCTCTTCCTTTTATAATATACCATGACAACACATTCTTAGGCAACAAAAGCCATAGTTAAGTTGACTAAAATACACAAAAACACAAGTCTAACTTTTCAATATTTAAGTCAGCTTACTGTGCACATAGTGATTTTCAATTTTTAAAAAAATTTCTTTTCAATTATTTATCCAGCTAACTAAGAGATTATCCAGGTTTGGGAAAGAGGAAACTACTGAACCACCTGAGGTATGTATCAATAACATAAACAGCACTTTTAAATGAGGTGTGTGTGTATCTGTGTGTGTGTTGTATATAGTGTGTGTGACTAATGAATGTAGATGTCAAAGGACAACCGTGGGTGTCAATTCTCACCTTCCACACCTTGCTTGAGACAGTCCCTTGCTCTCCACTTATACTCTAGGCTACTAATACACCAGACCACCAGCTCATAAGCTTTTGCGCAGTCACCTGTCTCTACCTCCCCTCTTGTCAGAATAAGGACTGGGATTACAGAAATAGGCTTGTGCATTCAGCTTTATTGCAGTTCTAGGGACTCAAACTCATGTCCTTTAGCTTGGATGCCAAACATGTTATCCTGTGTGCCAGCTCCATAGCCCCAATGCCGTACTTTAAAATAAAGAAGTATTCTGTCTATGTGTATGTGCTTTTAACGCATGAGCCATCTCTCCAGCCTCATCAATACAGTACTTTTGACCCAACCACTAAGAACTTACCATTGATGAGCCACACATAACTCAATGTCATGTTGCAGCCAGTCCAAATGTTTCACCAACTCCTTCAAAAGTGCTTCAAGAAAAAGGCCATGATGCTTTGCATTCTAAGAAACACATCCATGCCAGCCCTGATTCTCTTGGAATAAGGAATTTTAAAATCATACCTTGGGACAAGGCTGTCACCTCCACGAAGAGTAGTGGGGTCTAGTTCAAAGATGGAGGAGATGTCATTGCCTTCAGGCACGGAGACCAGAGAGTATACCATTTTTTCTTGTGCATTTCTCAACCTACTCCTAGATGCGTCCTGATCAGGGTCCACCTGAGAACAAAAGGTATCAAGTGAGGAGCTCTGTATGTAAAAGCCTCACTTACTATCATTCCACAGTCCACAGGAAGAGAGGAGAAACAACAGTGAGTGTCAGCAGCTGGCAGGAGAAGGACCACAGGTTCAGAGTAGACCTACAAAGTGACCATTGGCCACTTGACCTAAAATGATTTATTCTTGACTTCTTTGCGTTGTCATTCAAAACGGTCAAACACTGTGAAGGGACAACAGCAGAGGTTTATGGAAAGAGCTATTGGCAACAAAGACCTTCACTCCATATAGCCGTACCCATCTAAAACACCTGGGGAGCAGAGATGCACTTGAATAAACTTGGCCTGTGAAACTAGTTATTTGTGGTGGTACTAATCTACAACAATGGTTGTCTACCAAAAATATGACACAAGCATTTCCTAGGAGAAGGAATAAAATAAACCCGTCCAAATGTCCCTGTGTAATAATTCCAGTTCAGTGTCGCAAGTCACTCTAGACTTGAAGAACATACATTGATTAAAAAGGCCACTGATGACAAAGCAAAGGGCTGCTCATGCTACAGTGGGATTTGACTGAAATGAAAGAAAACCCTTCATGTAAAACCTGGTGAACAATGATGAAGGAATCCTGGGCAGCTCTAAGGACACATTCTCATTTCCAAAGCAAAGCCCATGTTGCCGAGATGTTAGGAAATGGGCTTAGTCTGAATGCCTGCTCAGATAGGCTCTGCTTCTCTTTTAGCTCAGTAACCAAATGAGCAATTCTTTTCAATGCCTGACCACATGCCCTGTGTCTGCTGGGAAAACATGATTTCCTCATCCCGGGCCTGCTTCTCTGTGGCTGAGGCATTACCTCCTGCCCAAATACATAGAGGAAGACAGCACCAGGAACACATAGCAATCAAGAACAGGAAGTCAAGTCAAAGGAAAAGGAAGCAATGTGAGAAAACTCAGCTCCACAATGAATGAATGAATGAATGAATGAATGTTCTTTCGGTCTTATATAGATCTGTAATCTCAGCTAACAGGGCTACTGGAGAGGCTGGGGTTGGTAAGGGTTGTGGTAGTACTTGATTGCAAGAGCTCAAGGCTAGCCTAGACAACACAGCAAGATCCTATTTCAAAAAATAAAGCACAAATAAACATCCAATCTCGTAATACCTTATATATCAGCAAATCTGAGGCCTTTTATTCTCTCTATGCTAAAGTAACATCTGGATCAAGAACACTCTGTGCCTTTGGCTCAGGAGAGAAAACTTGGACATCTATTCTCTTCCTAACTCTTGTCACCTGAAGTGTCTCATACACACTCTCAACAGAAAGTCTAAACCATCTATAATTCATGGCTTGGATACAGGAAGTGACAGTTGAGAGACTGCAGCAGATCTCGAGGAAAACTTGTGACTTCAATAAGCTTCCTCTATCTAGCCAGGGAAGCCAGAAGCAGAGCCCTCAGTACAGTCGGCATATAATGCCACCTAGTGGGAAGAAGGGCACACATTTAAAGAGCAGCAGAGAACAAGCCTCAGGTTGGCCTTTTACTCTCTCTGGGACTGATTTTACGAGCAGTACACTGCTAGTTCAATCTAATGCGTCATTGATGCTTTTCACCTTAGGAAAACCAAGAGCAGGTAAGAAAAGGAATGTTTTTACTTAGGTTTATATGACTAGACTTTCCATTCTCACTCACAACCCAAAGCGGCACTGAAGAAAGCAGGATCCTCTCAAAGCTAATACTTGTCTATGGAAACCAATGCTGTGCTTCCAGCCTGTTTGGTCAAGTGAAACTCTCTCTGCACACTCATCCTCCATGTGCAGACCCAAGTCCCAGCAACTGTGGGGCAATCAGTGCAATGCCATCCTGATCTACATCCAACCAGCTGGTGTATCATTGGCACGGAGAAATACCAGACTCCAAAAGACCTCTAGATAACATCATGTTAGGACCACCCACCAAGGCCTTTTCTAACTCTTATGAAGTCAAGATGACCTGCTGGATATGAACACAATAAAAAGTCCCCTACTGATCTTGTGCAACCTGAAAGTTTTGCTTGTTCAGTGGAGGAAAGTGAGGCTCAGGGAAGGCGAGTTACTTGTTTGTGGTCACACAGCTTGTCAGTGCTCAGTCTGATATTCAAATGAAGCTCTGTCTTTCTTCCCTCCTTACTGGGCTTGCGATCACAGCACTCTATTTTACACTGAGAATTAGTGTCTTCCTTCATACACAGAGCACAAAGGAGCAGTGCCATCTTCCATAGACCAATGTTTCACTAGGCCATCTTCTTCCCATCAAATGGACCATGGCTTGATATTAGAGCCAATGGTCAGACTACCTCAGTGACATCTCAGCTGGCAGCACTGAGGCCACACAGGGCAGTTTCCTCTCTAAAATAATGTTCACGAATAAATGTCAAACAAGAAAATAAAGCCAGGCCAACGATGCAGACTAGCAGGAAACTGAATTAGGTCTGTCTCCCAAGCTGGATTAGCCTTGGAGGATAAGCTTTCCAAATGATCGCAGAAGTAAAGGTGACAGAAAGGCAATGGGAAGGAGAAGATGAGACCAAGGCACTCTGTCAGACAAAGAGAGGAGGAGATAGATGGCCCTAGTAAGTCGATGTAGTTACAGCCAGAAGTCCTCAGCCACAATGGTTCGGTTTCTTTCAACATCAGCCTTCTACTGAAACATAGCTAGAAGGCTGACCATTACCATAGGATCCATGCACCTTCATTTGGAGTTATCTCCACCTTACTTCCCGTCTTTGATGTGCCATTTCAAATGTTACTAGAAAAACAAGTACCCTAGACTATCTACCATACCAACCACTGAGAATAGCACAAACACTCGAATGTCAACAGACAGCAACTGTCCGGCGTTTTGTTTGGTCTGAATTCAGCATAATCAAGCACTCTACTTTGTGGATGTTCTTATATCCATGAAACATGACCACTGCCTTCTTCAGCCCCTTGCTGGGTACATTTGTAACCCAAAGATCAATATCACTTGGTCATGATTTCTCTAAAGCTGAATCCATATTGCAAAGAAATTCCAAATCACATGAGAACCTAAAGCCCATTTCTGACTCTGTAAAAAAAAAAATAAGGTTAGAGGTTAGCCATCTGACTGTTCCATCTGAGGACAGGTGTGCCAGGCCTGATGTGTTAACTTTGAAATCAAAGGATACTACTCACTATCACTGCAAAAATCCAGTTGAGTCACAAGTCAAGGTCAACAGCACTAAGACAATTGTTCGTAAAAGGCCAACTTTCACAAGGACCAAGGCCATCTCCCACCCAGAAATATTTCAAGAGATACTTATGCACTTCTCTAGCTTAGAGGTGAGACTATTGACTGAATATACAGGAAAGCATCAAAACCAGCAGGGCCTAGACCAATCAGGCCACAGGAGGACATGACTTCCTTTAAGAGAAGCACTAAACACGATCTTATTGAAGGTAGTCTAAGCCTTCCCCTTCCCCAACAGGCAAAGGCCACTTTCTTAAATGGGGCTCCAGGTTATTTGGCCTCAGCCTACCAGACAAAGACAGGAAGGCTCTTGCCTATACTTACTGAGGGCTGAAACTCCAGGCATTCTTCCTCAAAGTCAGGGTCTACCTGATGAAAAAGAATCATTAGGAAATTAAAACATCCATTGCTTTCTCAAGGACCAGGGTCCATCTGCAGGAGATGTCAATACCTGCAGCCATCCTTGAACAGCTAAGAACTTGTCCCTTCCCTCTATTTACAGAACCAGCATGCCACAACAATGACACAAGTCACACAGTAACAATACACACAGAATACTCCACCAGGCACTAATGTATAGACAAGGAAAACACAACAAATTCACTAGAAGAACAACAGTAAAGGCCTAAGGTAAAGATAATGTCAACACACAGTCATTGATAACCCTGCTTACTTTTAGATAAAGAAAAAGAGGAAACAGGAGGCCTCTAAAAAGAGCTACATTACCTTAAGACACAACAGGTAAGACAACTACCCTTAATCTTTAACCACATAATCAAAGGTTTTCAAAGCTGTTTAGCGGGGTCTCTTCCTCCCTAAGACTCCATTTTAAATGTCAACGTAGAGACTTCTTCATGTTTGGTTCTTAAGTATTTAAAAATCATCAGTTTGTCCAAGTATCGGATACTCCAGGTGATTTACACATTTAGATTCCAAATTCCTAGGCTCAGTGGCAGCAGCAGTATTGATACCTACACAAACCCTTGGAAATCTTGAGACAATGGTGGGGTCCTTTGATGCACTACTAGAATCTGAATATGATTGTATGTACATCTTCCATCGGATCGGGGTAAAACTCAACAGCTTTTACACAGCAGGATGCTCCTTAATCTAATACAAAAATGAAAATGGAAATTCCTCCTATCCTTCAATACTGAGTCTTTCTTTCCTCATAAAGCTTTCAGAAGCTAGATATGGTGGCTCACACTTGTGAGTCTCAGTGCCTGGAAGGCTGGGGCAGGAGGATAGAGAATTTAAAGACAGCTTGGGCTGCAGAGCAAGACCATGACTAAAAAGGATAATTTAAGAGCCTGGCACATAGGGGGCGCATGCCTTTAATCCCAGCACTTGGGAGACAGAGGTAAGTGGATCTCTGCAGTTAGAGGGCAGTCTGTTCTACATAGTAGTTTCCAAGTTAGCCAGAGCTACATAGTGAGTCCTTGACTTAAAAAAGTTAATTTGATTCCTGATAGTCTTATAAGATTGATGACACCCATGTCTCCTCCTAAAGCCCCAAGGAATTAGATTTCTCTCTGAAATTCTCTAGTTCTCCATGCACTTCAATGCTTCTGATTTTATATACAGTGTACTGTGCAGACAAGTATCGGGCTCTTGTGTTCAGAGTTGGGGTGGTAAGTAAGTAGAAGCAAAGCAGAATATGACAACAAAACAGAAAAATCACCTTACAAACCTACATTAACATTATTTTCTAACTTCCTTTCTCCCTACTTCTTAATTAGTAGGCCCTTGTCAAGTCCCGCAGGATGTTGCCATTTGTAACTTTCCTTTTCTACAGAAACCAGATAGAAGAAAACAGAAAGGCAGAAGGAAAAGCCTGGTGGCTGAGTACTCCCTGGGACTTCCAGGCCTGGAGCAGCTGTAGGAGAGTGAAGAAAGAAAATCACAGTGAATTCAATTTCCAAGAGAAATCCATGTACAGCTTACTTACCTCTGCCGCCAAGTAGTGCCCTGTAGCCAGGTGCTTAAACCTGAAGAGGCTGTTCCAGTACCCAGCTCCACCCCGACATGGGTCATGCTGGACTACCTGCAAGAGGAAAGATAGTTAACGGGTGTGGAAGAACTGTCAGTCCACACAGAGATGGCACTGAACTGGAGACATCACAAGCCACAGTTCACTAGTGGTATTTTCAAGCTGATGGGTAGGGTAGGTGGTCCAGCACCCTTCTACAAAGCTGTGCCAAGCTTCAAGATGAAACATCTCAATTCAGAGAAACAGAATCATTAAAATGATGTTTCTCCATAGAAGAGGTTATCTCCTAGTTAACATACAATGGTTGGAATAATAACTGCAATGCTATTTAGATCTTCTGCCTAATACTAATGAAATATAAGACTCCTTTGCTGGTTGTGTATATGGGTGTACATGTGTATGCATGTTCACACATTCGTGCATTCATCTTGTGTTTGCACATATAGAGGCTAGAGGTTGACTACCTTGCTCCATTGCTCTCCCTGAATCTGGAGTCTTCCATTTTGGCTAGACTGGCTAGCCAGCAAGCACCTGGGAATCTGCCTGCCTGTACTCTCCTAATGCTGAGGTTAGGGTGTATGCCACTACACCCAGCTCTTATGTGGAAGTGCAAGTCCAAAGCCCCAGCAAGTGCTGAGCCATTTCCCTTACCCTGTGAATAAAGATTCTGAAATTCATCCACAAAATGCACAAGTTGATAAAATGGAATTTCAGAGATCTTTTCCATACATGTACTTGTGTGCTGCAACACACTTGCAGATCTATGCTTTGAAATGTGAGAGACAGGAGAGTCTGGGGCAATTTACCATGAAACTTTCAGCATCTAGCCATGATAATACAACAGACATCCATTAACTACTGTGCCATGACATACAGATGACACCACCACAGTGAAAGAGAAAACTGGGAAAGAGTATGAAACAAAATACTCTAAATTTTATAGGGCTAATAGTTGTACCATCCCATGAATCTACTAGAAATTACTGAATTGTATTCTTTTCAGTGTGAATATAAAGTGTGTGAATTTCATTCCAATAAAGCTGTTAATTAAAAGAAGGAAAACCAGTTTTAAATGAAGGTAAAACAAAGATATTTTCACACAAATGAGAACATAGACAATTTGTCCACGGCAGACCTGAACTACAAGAAACAAGGGAAGTTCTTCTGAAGAAAGAAATCCTTGGTATAAATTTGGATCTCTGTGAAAGAACACAGAGCTTAGAATGGCAATTATACAAGCAAATATGGAAGACCTCTGTGTGGCCTGCATGTACATCTTTGAAGTATAAGTGACTGCCTCCCTGGCTGTCCAATGTTTTGACTTCTCTGAGCCATACTGTGCAAGGGGTCCCAGCCTACAGCCTGGAGGTTTCAAGGGCATACACATGCTTATATGAGTATCTAAGGGCCACTGGTTAGACACCCATGGGAGCAAGGCAAATAATAAAATGAAGTGATGTTTGTGATCCACGTAGAAACAAAATATGTGACCAAAACAACCCAAAGAAGAGTAGGGAGGAATGGAAAGAAACTATTATAACACACGACTATCACAACATGCTAACTAAAGCTGGGTGGCTATGCCAACACATAGTAAGAATCTCAAGAGTTCCTTGAATTTTTTTTTTAATTTCGTTTTGTGTGTGTGAATGTCTTTTGTTTTTGTTTTGTTTTTTTGTTTGTTTTGCCCGATTGTATTTCTGTGCACTATATGTATGCAATGCCTGGGGACGGGGGCGTGTGCAGAAGAGGGTATCAGAATCCCTGGGAATGGAGTTACAGATCATTGCTAGCTGCCTTGCAGGTGCAGAGAATTGAAGTTGGTTCTCTCGTTCTCTCTCCAGCACCTCTAGATCTATTTGTTTTTAATCTATAAAAATACATGGTGTTATTTTCCTTCTTTGATTTGGAAGGAACGCTCAAGTGTCAGTAAGGCAGAAGACAATTTAAGAAAGACTAAACATTTTCATAGGAAATTGAGAAAAAAATACAAATAAAAACCTGGCAGGAGACAGCTCTTAATGGAGAAAAAAAAAAAAAGTTGATAGCTGGTTGTCCTCAGAGGAAAAGAGGAAAATGCTCTCCAGTGGACTTTCAGGTTCAATCCCCTTGGAAAGCTAGCATCTTTTATTCACCTCAGTCAATTTTGAATGAGTAAGGCTTGGTGAACTGCATAAGGCCCTGGAGTGAGACACCCTGGCTTCTGTAGGCTCACACATTTCCTTCAACTTATGTTCAAGCAGGGAGAAAAATTTGTTTATAAAATGTCAACCATGCGAAAATATCCTGTCCACTGAAAAATGGCTCAATGGAAGTGGTTAAGCCAAGAAAATGAAGGTCTGTTTTTCTTCTACTTCCTAGATAGTCAGTTTTCCCCTCCTTTGCATCTACCACTTCCTGTTAACCTGGGGAGACTGCTGCCCTACCTGCCTCCTTCCTCTCCTGCTTCCTTCTCTCTGCTTTACTTCCACTCCCTGACTTCCTCTTCCTGCTTCCTCTTCTCTGCTTCACTCCCACTCCGACTTCCTCTTCCTGCTTCCTCTTCTCTGCTTCACTCCCACTCCCACACTTCCTCTTCCTGCTTCCTCCTCTCTGCTTCACCTCCATTCTCTGACTTTCCTTCCTTTTCTGCTCCACTCCAGCTCCCTGACTTTTTCCTGCCTCCTCCTTCCTCTATTCACTTTCTTTCTTCTCCCTCTAACATGCTTTGAACACAAAGGAAACAAACAAACATGGAGGATATCAGTGAGCAAAGACAAAGTCGTAGCTCGCAGAGAGTTTAGAATCTAATCGACTTGACTGACCCTAAACAGCTGTGAACAACAGCCAAACAACTAATGCTACAGATGTGTCGAGGAGAAGGCAAAGAGAACAGCGAGAAGCTCACCAAAACAAACAAAAAAGGTAGTGGATGGATGGACAGATGGACAGATGGACAGAAACACAGGTGTCTTTTCATCATAGAAACTGCAGCAAATTATCTGCACTATGCCCAGATGAGCCTATTTCTTCATCCAGGTAAAAGAGAAGAAAGGGGATTTTTGAAACAGGCAAAGTATTTGAACAAGACCCTTTACCAGGAGAGATGCACAGACAATAAATGAGCACAAAGAAAATTAGCAGCAGCACCATCGTGGGCGTGGGAGCACAAAGGCCACAAGAAGCATAGGCTCCACATCTACTTCAATGGTTAACATGGAAAAGAATAATCAGATTGGACACTCATGATTGAGAATTTGAAGAAAGGACAAATTTTGTGCACTGCCAGCAGAAATATATTCTTTCCACTTCTGAAAACAGTTGGGCAATTTCATTCTTGGCCTCAGTTTCGTTTTTTTGCTCTGTTTTGCATCAGGATCTCTACAGTCATTCCAGCTTGACCTTGAACTCATAGTAATCCTTGGCTCCCAGATGCTGGAAACAGAGGAATGTCACCTCACTTGGATTCAGAATGTCAATTTGTTATAAAGTTAAATGTACACCCAATATAGGCTCCAGGTATTCCACTTGTATACATGTGAAGACATGAAAGCTTATGTCTAAGCTCAAATGGCCCTGAAGCTTTATTTATAACAGCTCCCCAATTAGAAACCACTCAAATGCCATCAACAGATGGCAGATCTGCAAGGTGGATAGGATGTGGACACCATGAGTCAAGTCTAAGAAATGGACTGTCTGAAGGATACAACGACACAAGATTTAGTGAGGACTGCCTGGTCTAAAGTTGCTCTGTGATATTCAAGAAGAGATATCCAGGAGAAAATGGGGAGTGCTGAGAACATACTGAAGGACCTCTGAGGGCCTACTCTTCTCCTGGTTCTTGATTCGGGTGCTGGCTCCTTGGCTGAGGAGACATGTAAACAAACAGAACTTGGTGTTTATGATTTGGGCATTTTGCTGTATTTGTCTTGATTTTGATCAAGATATGACATAATCAAGGCCAGAGGAGGGAGAAGGGGGAAAGCTGACAAGTAGAGACAGAAATGCAGCCACTCAAAGGAAGATTCTGAATAGAGAGGATCACTCAGCCTTTCTTCATGCTCTTAATAGCTCTACAACCAAACATTCAATTTTATTTCTTGGTATTATAAGCCTATTCCTCAAGACAGAATTAGCATCTTCTGTAAGCAGCATGCTGAATGTGCTATTACTCAAGACATCCTTCCACACTTCTTCCCTGCCTGCGAGTGACATCCCAATGCCCTGCAGCCTTGACAAGTGCAATTTGAGGCTCTGGTCTCCAATGAGTTCATTTGCCCATGTCCACACTGTGCTGCCCCAAAAGCCAGGTTACGCACTATTATGCCAAGGCTGTCTTATATTATGTTTCCAGTTCCAAGGCTTTCCCTTACATGACATGACCTGCCCCACTTATCTTCCTTCCAAAATTCAGATCATCTAGCAGATACAAGCTCAGATGCTAATGCTTCCAATCTTTTACGTTATTTGACAACTTAATGCATGCATACAGTTGACTCTGTTTATTCCCTCCACCTGCCTCTCTTATCTACCTCCCTTCACTATCAACTCTCACCCATCCCCTCTACCTTCCCCTTTCCCAGATCATGACTTGCGGTTTTTGTTTTGTGACACATCCTAACCAGGGCCTTTTGTGTGACCAGTGGATTGGGACTACCCATTGCCATTTAAGAATCTTAATCCTCACTCAATGAGTCCATCCTCCCTTACCAAAACCTCTATCCAGAGCACACGGAATAAATAGCCCTCCTGTCACCTAGGCCGTCCTGCTGTAAAGATGCTTATTTCTCTCCTTTTTTAATTTATTTTTTGAGAAGTTCATGCATGAGTACTGAAATTACATGATTTCCCTCTACCCTCTAAGTCCTCTCTTGCTCCTCTACTCTTCTCAAATCCATACCCTCTTATATTGTTATTAGTATTATTATTAGAACCTGTTGAGTTAATTTAATGTTGCAAAAAGGTGTAACTGCTTAGGGCTTGATCACTTAGGATTGAGTAACCTATCAGGGGGCCTGTCCTTAGAGAAGACAATTCCTCTTTCCATAACCACTAAAGCCCTGTAGCTCTTGGGGAGTGGTCTTTTGAGGTTTACTTCCATCCACAAAGGTAGGTGAACTGGTGATACCATTTTTTTCAGATCTTGCTTAGGTAATGATATTGTTCAGATTACATGAATGTAGCTTCCCTGCCATATACAGAACACCTTAATTTGTGTCCCAACACCAGTGTGGGAATCAAGTATTTATCAATGTCATGTGAATTATTTGATTGAATAATATTGTGATAAACAAGCAAGAGAAAGGGGGGAAGACAGAAAAGGAGGAGGTAAAGTAAGAAAAAGCCATTTCATTTCTTGTGGCTTGGGGAAAGAATGTTTGGATGCTATTTTTCATAAGGCCATGCAAGACCCACCTGGTACACCATAGCATGCTTGCATTTTTTCTTTTTTTTTTTTTTTTTTTTTTTTATACATACCTGGATATGATTTAGAAACACATCTGCAGCGAGGCTTACATCTGAACCATAGCACATACATCCCCAGCCCCAGTGCTGCCTCTCCTGGCCCCCAGCCCACTCCTTACCTCCACCTCCCACAGGGCTTTGGAACTGGTGGCCGATGTGGCTGACTGCCGGCCGGTTGTCCTCAGGAAGACATGCTGCTTCTTCCTGTGCTCATCACATGTGAGAAACTTCTCTTGCTCAGCATGGAAGAGCCTCACCACATCTCCCTGTACGTCAATGCAAAATGGGAGGAAGGGGGAAATGAATTTGAAAACAAAACCAGCCTACTGTCCTGAGCAAGGCAGAGTGTCAAAAAGCATCCAACTTACTCCCTTTAAGATGTCATCTTTGTTATCGCTCCATTTCATGAAAAGGACTATTTTCCAGCTTGTGTTGCAGTTGACGGAGTTGACCTAGAAAACCAATCAGTGTTAATTTTTCACATAACTCCTAGCATAACTATGTCATCCAGTCCCAAAGCTCCTCACTGTAGCCGTGAAGGCCAGCGGGGCTTCAATACAAATCTTCTGTCATAGTTCGGATAGTTGTACAGTCCCTGCACAGTCGTGTGTCAGAATGCATGGTCCCCACCTGGGGGAGCTGTTTTCCCAGAATTTGGAACCTTTAAGAGGAGGGACCCCACCTGCAGGAAATAGGTCTCTAGAGCAGAAAGCTGTGAGGCTTAGGCCTGGCCTAGCTTCCTCTCCTCTCTCTCTGTTTCCTGTTCTATGGAGGTATGCACAGCCTAACACTATTCAAACTGCTCTACTGCCATGACCATATCCTCCCACCATGCCTGGGAGCCACAATAAACCCTTAGTTGCTTCTTTTCAGTACTTTGTCGAGGCAGTGAGAAAAGTAACTAGTAGACCCTGAAGACTGACACTGTTGAGAACAAAGAACCTGAAAAGTCATCTGTGGAGTAAGAAATGTTGGGTAACAAATGGCTTATTTGTATCCATCACTACACACACTACTAGTTTCCTCCTGCCCCTTTTGTAATGCTACATTCCTTTCCTCCAAGTCTGTGGTTCTACAGCCACAAATGTAAAGGCTAAGTGAAATCAAATACCTATATGGTGGAATGACATGCCAAGAAATGAGTCCAGTGCATGCATTTGAAAATGTTAATGGTCACTGTTAGCAGCAAGAGCCCTCATTTTTACAATCGCTATTTTCCAGGCACAGAGAGCTATGGCTTATTAATACCGTCTCACTTAATCCACAGCAGTACCCTAAGAAACTCTACCGTCCTTTCAGACTAGGGATGCACAGAGAGATTAAGTAACTCATCTATGATTCCAGAGCTCGAGAACCATAGACTGAGATTTGAATTCACATCTTTCTCAATTTAAGTCCATATCCTTTCCACGAGAGACATTCTATCATAAGAGGTACGACCCTCTGTCTGCAACTTCCCTGTGAGACGCTTAGCAATTTACAGCTGAACACAAGATCCCCTAGCAGGGCTGTGCATGACCTGTAATGTCACCACCTCCTTAGAATTATAAAAGATACCCTACTTAGGGAGACAAATTGGGAAATTGTGCCCCTACAGCTAGTCTCAGAAAAAAAAATAATGGCAAAAGGAGTTTCCAGGTTTAATAATTTAGAGAATGATTCTTCAGTGATGCAAAGTTTATCAAACTCACTGCCCATGCACTGACCTACAAAACCTCATGCTCCCGAACTGTCAGCCTTGGGCTGTTCCCTGCAGAATGGGCACAGTGTCCTGAGTTGCTGCTGAAGTCATGCACAGTGGACACACACTCTGGTCTCACAAGGCCTGCTCCTGTGGCACAACCTCATCCATATACCGGGATGTCAATTTTTTCAGATGTCCTTACCTCGTTGCAGCCTGGGTTATCCACCAATTGATGGCTGCTGGCATGTAGAGGCTGGCCAGCATTGACGGGGTTCAAGACTACCTTGTCACCTATGACCACCTGGAAAGAAAGGAGCAACACAACTTTTCACAGGGCAGATTGGGATTGCACAGGCGCTGCTGCACAGTTCTGGGAGGCCATCTCAGCACATATCAGCTTTTAAAGGCTGACCATGCAAGTGCAGTTTGTGCTCTGAAAGATGGCTGAGGCTGAATTTCAATGCACAACTGTTGCTGGTTATACTTCAATACTTTGCAAGTTGGCCAGAGCACTATAAAAGGGTTTTTCGGTATTTGGTTGAGACACTTGTATAAATAAGCTTGACTCAGTTTGGGGGAAAGCAGGATACTATTTTGAGTGGTCATTATGTTTGAAAGAATGAAGTCATAGTCATGTTCCTAGAGCAATGATCTTCAGAATTGTGACTACAGCATAAGGAAATCTATTTTCTAATACCATTCTTCTATATGTGGCAATAGACAGCTTTTACATTTTTGAAGGTTTATTTTTATGTTGTGTGTGTTTGTGAGTATCCGCCTTGTCTGGGTGTACCATGTGTGTTCTGTTCCCATGGAGGACAGAGAGGGCTTTCAGAATCCCTGCAACTGGAGTTACAGACTATGTCTTCAGCCCCCAGCAATAGACAACTAAATATAATGTTCTATAACTGAAACAAATGTCTCTGACCAGAAACCCATACCTGCCCTTAAATTGATACCAGCCTGAGCCTCTGATCAGAAATCCATACCTACCTTTGTGTGTCATACAGCCTGATACTTTCTATTCTGACCTACTATCTAAACTGGCACTCTTAAACCACTGAAGTATGAACAGGTCAAACCCTATAGTATGAGAAAAACTACTTTTTAAAAGGTAACTATTTATGTTATAGTGTCAACTAAGTTAAAGGTTAACAGATTAAATGACAGAAAAGCAAAGTTTACTGAAAACAAAACTCAGAACTCGGAACATCATTGTGTGTGTGTGTGTGTGTGTGTGTGTGTGCGCGCGCGCGCGCATGTGGAAGCCTGACAAAGATGTAGGACAAGCTGCATCATTCTCTACCTTATGAACTTGAGACAGGTTATCTTGGGCAACCTAACTTCTCTTTCTCAGTGAGGCTGGCTGCTAGTGAGTTCGAGGACCTACCTGTTTTGTTCTCCCAATACTGGGGTTAAAGGCACACACAGCCAAGCCTGGCTTTTATGTGACTACTGGGGATTTGAACTCAGCTCCTCATGGTTATACAGCAAGCCACCTTCTCAACCCTGCATTTTCTTTTTATGGTGGGAATAGAAGGAAAGGAAACAAAAGAAATGTCTTCCTTCCTACAAGGTGAAACCCACATATTTTGAGAATGGTACATTTTGAAAAAAAATATGGCTATATATTCTATAAACTGAAATGAAAGTAAGTTCATTAAAAGAACTTGTGGATCAATATTCACTGTATGTCAACAGTGAGAGAACAGCTTGCTATTGATATATGAAATACACACAAACACAAAATATTTAAACTGACCACAGCCTATAAACTTAAATGGCATTACTAAAAATGTCAAAACCTAGATTTTTTTTTTTTTTTTTTTTTTTTTTTGGTGTAGGGGTTGAGACAAGGTTTCTCTGTGTAGCCCTGTCTATCCTGGAACATACTTCTGTAGACCAGGCTGGCTATGAACTCACAGAGATCTGCCTGCCTCTGCCTCCCAAGTACTGGGATTAAAGGAGTGCACCACCACCACCCAGCTCAAACCTAGTTTTAACTATAGGATAGGTATTTCCAGAACACTCCACATGGCTTAAGGTGCCAATTTCTTTTTAGGTTTTTTCCTTAAGCATCTATTTTAGAACCGTAACAAGGTCAAGTACATAGCTGATAGCATTTAAACATATTCACCGCTAAGTATGTGCCCACGTAATGACTAATTTAACTAACAAATATCTGAAGTGTTCTCAGTTGCTTTGAAAAGGGATTCCTGTGGCTCTGTATTGTTCAGAATCCCAGGCCAGGGACCTATGCAGCAGCAGCAGCAGGAGATGGAGAAGCTGCCCTGCTTACTGACACAGGAATTATGGGGTGAGCATACAATCCATTCCTATTCCCTACTAAGGCTATTGCTTTTCCACTTTCTGTCCTTCAGTATTTCCAAAATAGCTGGACATTTCTGTTGCACTCATGGAAATGGAATGGCAAGGGATCCTCAACCAGGATATTAATTCAGGATAGCTGTTTTCATGGTAAAATCACTGAGGTAATAGGATTTTTTTCAGAGGCCCAGTAGGAAAAACATAGCGACTGTATTTAGGTCACACTTCTCTTCTCATTTCCTTGTTTCCCAAACACTAGTTTCCATAGCAATCTGATCTCTTCTTATGCCTGTGGCTCCAATGCTAGACTTCTCTAGTTGAGCCTCAAGCACAGTGAGGGCTGGCAGCACGGCATGGAGCACTTTCCTGGTGGGGAAGCCACACTTACACTGTCTCCGATGGAGCGCAGCTTGTAGAATGGTTGAATGTAAAACCAGGACCCTTCATTTCCAGCCTCATCCAGTGTCACTCTCATGGCATTCTTCTCTAGCAGGGCTGGAAGCCTCTTATTCACAGTCAGGTATTTATTGCTTTTCAGATGCAGGAGCTAGAAATCCATCAAGAGAATAAGGTAGAGCGAGTCTGTAAGTTCTCTGCCATCGCTCTCTTGGTCATGTAAAATACTTATCAAACATTCCTCCCACCACGGAGCTGTTTGAGAAGCAGGAGAAACACAAAGTACCTAATGCTGGAACAACAAGAAAAGGAACAGTGAAGGGAGGCAGAGAAGAGGGCAAGACAAAAGGAAAATTTGTTTGCCTTTTTTTTTTTTAACCAACATGGCCTTGGATGAGATGGATAATGCAGAAGCCAACCTTGCCACCATCTGGAAGCTGCTAGGGAGGTATGGCATCACCTTGTGGATAAGGGCTAAGGAATGGTGGTTTAACTAGTTGCTGATAACAGTGGGAAATGAAGGAAGGTAATTTTGTCTGCAGCCAACAGTCTGATTTAAAAGGCAATCCCACTGAGGACTGTTATGCCTTGTGAAAAACAGAGTGACCCTGGGCATCCACCTCCAATGCTCCAAGCATTGATTCTTCACTCTAGGATGGTGACTGAATGAATACTTGATGCATGGGAGGAGAGAAGATGCAGGTGGGAAAGAGTCTGTCTAATCATCTGGACCAGTAAGTGTTACTAAGGTTTCTGCCCATGTTGACATGTATAAGAGAAAACAGGAACGCAAGGCTTCTCCATCCCTGAAAAAAGAAGGCCAGCTTGTGCCTCCACTGCAGCTGCCATATCTCCTGTTTCCATGGTAACACTCAAGCACCCTGAAGAGGCCAACAAATCTACTGACTGGGTTGAGGAGAGTGGAGGCATAACCTGTATAATTTGTGAATCCTGGATAGCCTGTGGTCAAGAGAAACAGGAGACAATAATGTCCTCTAAGGCCCTTGAAGCTCCCTTGGTGAATGGCCTCTAATCCTCTACACGTGGACTCACCTTCCCACAGGTGAGCCCAAGGCCTGAGACCAGAAGAAATAAAACCAGCCTAGCAGAAAATACCATTACCACTGGTTGGCATGTGGTTCTTGAATCCTCACAGGGCTAGAATGTATTAGCTGTTAGCATCCCCCATGGTCTTCCTTCATCCTTGTTTCCAGTTCTCCAGTCTAACCAAGTGAGTGTCTTCTACTCTGAGCCTCAGAGTACTGGCCTCACTTGATAACAGGATTGAACTTCACAAGGACAGGGAGAAGTGATAATTAATCTTCCAATAGCTTTCAAAAGCTATTAATAGGGCCTAACCCAAGTAACCATTTAATCAAAAAGCATTACCCAGAAATGGTGACTCCAATACCTGTAATCCTAGCACTCAAGAGGCCAAAGAAGGAAGAGGACCCAATGCCAGCCTGGGCTATATAGTAAGATCAGGGCAATCCTGGGCAACTTAGCAAGACTCTAAGTCACCTTTTGCAACCCCCATTAAAAAAAAATCACAGAAAGTCATTTTTATCAATTTTTAGTAGTTTTTTTTCATATTTATCATTAGCACTGCTCTATACTTAACAGCAATAAAAACAGGAAGAAATTCCTTTCTAATTAGTAGTTTACAAGGTCAGCAAAAACAGAAGCAGATAACCTAATGGACAGGGTGCTCAAAAACTGTGACTACTGTCTTTGTGCCTGGGTTCAATTGATCTGGAAACTGGATCTGTTAAGCTGGTCCTAGGCATGGTGATTCCCTCATGCTCTTCCCCAAGACTGGCTCGGGTGGGATCAGAACCTTCTGGGAAAGCCTTGTGAAATACTTGTTTGAACTGTGTTATCTCCAGTGCAGGTTCAAGGGTACAGAGATATTGGGTGAACTCAAAAGACAATAAAATATGTCAACAATTGTGAGATACTTTAGTAAAAAAAATTATAGAAAAGGATACATATAAATAAAGTTTTGTGAAGTAATCCCACTGCTTGGAGAGTAGAGGTAGAAGGGCCAAGAATTGAGGGTCAGTTCAGCTACATGGTGAGCATGAGGCCAGCCTGCACTGCATGAAACCCTGTACATAAGTACATACATACATTGTGCGTGCGTGAGTGCGTGCGTGTGTGCATGAAGAACTTTTATTTTCTCTGGCAAATAGCTCTTGAACAAAAGCTAAGATTTACAGGACATTCACTAAACACAAAGAACTCCCAAGCCATTATAAATTAGGCAAAACCATTATAATTAGGGTCCTCTTCGGGCATGGTGTTTCGCATTTGAACCATCTGCACACAAGTGATCAGCAATCAGCTGAGAAAGGAAATGCTTACACCATGACACAACCCAATAAAATGCCCAAGTGATATAACAAGAAACATGAAGGGATTGTTACTGTTTGGTTGTTGTTGTTGTTGTTGTTGTTGTTGTTTATGTTGTTTTCAATAAAGTAGCTGCTTCTATTGGAACCCCACTGCCAAGGAAATGGCACGCCCATGTGATGAGATTACTTCCTCGGTTTCTTTCTTTGTCATGCTTCAGCTCCAGAAGAGAAGGGCAGCCTGCACCTACCTGGATCACATTGCCATACTGGATCACGGTCCCCAGCAATTTCCTGTTTTCTGTCTCATTCTGCTTCTTTTCCAAGTCTGCAGCATGCTGTAACATAGACAAGGAAGACTGGTCGGTCACAGAGAGCAAATGGGTTCTGTCCTTCCAAGACAATACAGAACCACTGTCACCAGAACCACGGAACAAGCAAATCCCTGGGTACAGCCTGAGGCTCTATGAAATGAGCCAGGAGCTCATCTAAGTTGGCCTAGCTTATGCACTGGCTTATGCCTCAGCTTTCAGGGCCTTTGGGGATTATTAGAATGAGCTGCTTCAGGGAAGCCATGAGCATTTGACTTGTGAGAAACTAGTCAAGAGCATGTATATATATTTTTAACAATAGAGTAAGGTCAGAAAGGGCTTTGCATACCTCTTGTGATTTGCAAATATTCTTTAAGGCTTCAGAATAAAATAAAACTGAATTGAAAAGCCAATTTAGGGCAGTGTGTGGTTTTAGGAACTTCACTTTATTACAAAACATTTATGAGTTTGTTTCTTATTTGTAAAACCAGGATAAAAATGGTACCTGCACTCATATAAATTATCTTCCATAGTAGCTACTCACTGTACCACATGTGGCCTATTATTACTGTCAAATATTCATCATAATTTCTCTAATTTTTGTGTAGCTCCTTAAAAGGAAGATGATTACCCCATTTTTAAACAAGAAACAGTGAAATCTAAAGGTTTGGTCAACATCACACAGCTAATTGGATGTTGAATACAATGGGCTCGGGTAAACCATTTTCTCTATTGTATATGACAAATTTTGCTTAATTTCAGTTTTAGTTTTTAATCATGCATTTATTAAATGACAGAGCTAATCTGCAAATGTGCATTTGGGTTAAATTTGTAATGTGCAGAGTGACCAGTAAGGCTGGGAACATTACCAGGCAAGTCTGGAATGCTTGGAAAGGTGGTAAGGACAAATAGATGGTACAAGAAGGGGCTCTTGGAGCCACCACCATGAACAGCTTTCTCTCATTCTTATATCTAAGCAGTGTTAAAGAAGCTACTATATCACAATATGCCAATGGGGAATTACTGACATCATAGACAATAAGCAGACTATCATCCAAGCCCATTACCTATCTTAAAATACATCAAAGAAACATGGCATGAAAGAATTACACACAGAATCTGCTGGATGGTGACAACCCAATGACCAATAATATACTAAGGCTTCAGAAGCATTTGTTTGCTATGTTCTCTCCCTGAAGTGTCTCCTCTTCAGGCAAGACACTACCAGATTCCAATGGGTTCCCTTTCACAGCAAGCACACCTTCATTTTCACAGGGATTTGTGGACTTAGTGTTAGGTACCTTACACTGAAACTTTACCATCCAACTAGGTCAATATGTTAGCAAACCCCAGGTGGTGTTCTTACCACGAAAGGGAACTCTCAAGCATTAACAAACTACTCATAAATATTACAGAAGATTATGAAAGACACATCAGAGGCATTCAATAATTTTTTATTTTAATTAATTTTATACTTACTTGTTGTAAACAAGGGATAAAGCCCAGGGCTTCACACATGCTGGGCAAATGATTTACCACTAAGCTATATCCCCAGTCTTTCAATAAAGTAATTGTGGTGATTGGAATAGCAATGACCCCCATAGGCTCATAGATTTGAATGCTTGGCTATTAGGGAGTGGCTCATAGATTTGAATGCTTGGCTATTAGGGAGTGGCAGTATTTGACAGAGATTAAGAGGTCTGGTCTTCTTGGAGTAGGTGCAGCCTTGTTGGAAGTGTTTCACTGGGAAGTGAGCTTTCTGTTTTCAAGGGCTCAAGATAGGCTCGGTGTCCCTTTCTTTCTCTGCCTGCTATTCCAGATATAGAACTCTCAGCTACCCTCTAGCACCATGCCTGCCTGCATGTTGTCATGCTTCCTTCGATGGTTACAGCGGTCATGGAGTCTCTTCACAGCAATAGGACACTGATAAAGACAAAAATTGATACCATGCACTGATACCAATCCAATGCTGTGACAGGACTGGACATACATTTGTTTAGAGGAATGTAGACTTTGGGATGTTGGATTAGGGAAGTAGTGAAGTTTAATGGGCCACACTAGTAAGAACATGGAAGACAGTAGTGATTGGGGGTGATTTGAACTGTAGGGGCCCAGCTCAAGAGGCTTAGAGGTGAAGAATATTAGTATGTGGCCTAGAGATGATTCTTGTGATATTTTTGGTGAAGAATGTGGCTGTTTTCTGCCCTTGCCCCAAAAATATGCTTGAGGCTAATTGAAGAGTTTGGATTAAGAGTGTTGGCAGGGGTGATTTCAAATCACCTTAGTTTTGGAGATCCAGAATCATGAGATAGCAGCCAAGGAAAGTTGCCGACTTGGTGTAGAATCAGCCCAATAAAGACAAGTGTGCTGCAGTCCACAAAGCTCAAAGGAGTTGGAGATGTGAAGAGCATTTTGACATCAGACAAGGAAATTCAGAGTTTGGAGTTTGCCCAGATGATTTTTTTTGGTCTTCCTTTGGTCTACTATTTCCTTACTAAGCTCCCTTTCCTCCATTTTGGAATGGCAATATATACCCTATGTCATTTTATATTTTAAGTCTGTGATCTGCTTTATGATTTTCAATTTACAAGGGGACTACAGTTAAGAAAGTGTCACAAGTCTCAGAAGAGACTTTGAACTTTTAAACAGTGTTGGACTGTTATAGACCATGGGAACTTTTGAAGTTGAATTGAATGCAGTTTTGTATCATGATATGGCTACAAGCCGGTGAGGGCCAGAGAGTGGAATATGGTGGTTTGAATAGGAATGGCCCCCATAGGCTTGAAGATTTGTATGCTTGGTCATTAGGGAGTGGTGCTACTTCATAGGGATTAGGAAGTCTAGCCCCCTTGGAGTAGGTATGGCCTTGTTGGAGGAAGTGTGTCACTGGGGTGTGATCTTTAGACTTTCAAGGGCCAAAGACAGGCGTCTCTCTCTCTCTCTCTCTCTCTCTCTCTCTCTCTCTCTCTCTCTCTGTCTTCCTCCTCCCCTCTCCCTCTCTGCCTGCTGCCAATAGAGATGTAGAACTCTCAGTGACCTCTCCAGTACAATGTCTACCTACAAAGGTGGGCTTTGGAGAAAATTACAGGAAGCAATACCAATTCACAAGCACAACGATGTGAATGAAGACAATGACCTGCCTATCAGTGGAAATCCTTGCCAGGTAACCATGTGCATACCAGCACAAAGAGGATCTAGTCCATTCACCCATTTCTCTCCCTCTCTCTTTGAATGAGATACCAGTCTTCTACCCTCACCAATACAAAGATAACATCACACAATTCCACTCATACCCAGTGATAATGCCTTGCAGACAAAATAGCAGCACTCAGTATCCATGATGACCTCTGTACAGGTCTTCAGCCCTACCCCCACCCCTTCCTTGTTCTCCCAATTTCCGCCATGCATTTCTTATACTGTAGAGTTCTCTGTAGTCCCTACAGGTAGTTTTCCAAACCAAACACTGGCCTGGATTCATTTGGAATGAGAGTTTACACTTTGTACAGAGTGACTTGTTCTTTCTATTAAGCTGTTCTCGGGTAATACTGAGTGGAAACTCAAGAGGGAAAAATGTCAAAGTGAGAAATGGATTGAGAAAAATAAACTATTTTCCAAAATAAAATGAAAACAAAACCCCCCAAGCAAATAGAGCTTTTTCTATGCCCAAAACATCACACTGGTGAGCTCCATGTTTACAGAATTCTTGAGCAGCACTTCTTGGACTCAAATGATTTTAAGATGGAAAATTCTCATGAACCTTTTCTTATTCCCAAGAAATTCCAAAAGCCTCAGTTTAAGCCCTAAGAGCCTAAAATATTAAGTCCCTGTGCTGGCTGGAAGGAGCCTCAGGTTGAGGAAATACCTCCATAAGATCCAGCTGTAGACCAGACTAATTAGTGATTGATGGGGGAGGGCACAGCCCATTGTGGGTAGTTTCACCCCTGGGTTGGTGGTCCTGGGTTCTATAAGAAAGCAGGCTGAGAAAGCCAGGGAGAACAAGCCAGTAAGCAGCACACCTCCATGGTCTCTGCATCAGCTCTTGTCTCCAGGTTCCTGCCCTGCTTGAGTTCCTGTCCTGACTTCCTTTGGTGATGAATAGCAAAATGGAAAGTGTGAGCTGAATAAAGCCTTTCCTCCCAACTTGCTTTATTCATGGTGTTTCATCCCAGCAATAGAAACCCTAACTAAGGCAGCTCCTACATGTGCTAAGAGTGGGCACAAATCAGTGTCAAACTGATCATCAAAAAGGTACTACTCCATAACAGAAATTAATTACAAAAAAGTAAAACAGAAGATCAAGGACAGTTGTCTACATTAAAAGGAAAATAAAGAGAAAGTGGAGAATAGCACATAAGACTTATCTTAAAGACACCCTGGAAGATGACAGTTAAAAATTTGTCAAACTATGAATTACAACCCTTTCATTTCTGTTAACAAGATCACTGCACAAACACAGAAAGCAGTGAACTTATGGGCCATTCTGTGAGCCCACTTCTACAGCTCCTTATCCTATAAAGAGAAAAGTCTCTAATTCACCATTTACTAATAGCATGAATATAAAATGTTTGTTTAGTGAAGGGACTGGGAGATGGCTCTCCCAGTTGGTAAAGTCTTGCCAGACAGCATGAAAATCTTTGTGCTTAATCCCCAGGACCGACATAAAGAGCCAGGTAGAAGCACAGGCTCATAATCCCATTGCTGGATGGAGGGGAAGCAGGGACAGATTCCTGGGATTCTATGGTCAGCCAAAGGCCCCTCTCCCCCCTCCCCCCATACATACACACACACACACACAATTACACATGTGCTCACATACCTGAACACATCCACACACAGAGAATAACTAAAATTCATTCAAGTTCATGCATTAGTCCTTAAATGATTCATCTCATAAGACAAAACTTGGTTTTTAAATCAAAAACATCCATCATGACATTTAGGTTCAATAGGCAACATAATATGTATTGTAAAAGGCAGCAAGACCCAGACTGCACCTGGAAAGCACAGGAATGAGGTCATGATTTGTT